CGGCCGAGGAGGCCCGTCCACCGAGCGGGCGGCCCCCCCGCCCCGTGTGTAAAGATAAATGCCGGGGATGTTTCCGAAACCGAGACACCTCATCAGGACAGGGGGCCGGCTTCCATCGCGTCTCCCCCAGGACGCGAGCGCTGCTGTGCGCGGCCTGAAGTCATTCGCTCAGCACACACACGCAGAGGGCGCGTGGGCCGGGGTCGGGGAGCGTGGCCGGTGTGTGTCCGTGGACCGGGCCGTGCGGGCTCGCCCTGGCGGCTTCCCGCAGTCAAGTCCTGCGGGACTCGGGCGGCCTTTCTGGGTGTGTTATCGTGACAGGGAATTAATCTGATGCCTGTCTTTTGTTTTATCCGGTTTCGTGGGTTATTCCAAAAGTTGGTCCTTTAGGTTGGCACATCTTCCCCCAAGAGACATCGCTTGGCCTCATTTATAACTATCAGCATTTCACTTAAACGCTGCCTTTGATTTTTAATGGGTCTCGGTGTGCTCATCGATGCCTTGATGTGCGAAGAGCCCAGGCTTTAAAGTGCAGGGGACTTCAAGGGGGTGGGGAGGGTCGTAGTAAATAACACGCTCTGAAGATACTCAATAAATGCTTACAGTGTGGGTCACACTGTAGTTCTATTTAGCTGTGCAAACCAAATGAAGAAAAAGGGAGGAAAACCTATTGAAGCGGCGTACTTTTAGATATTCCTAGGACAGCTCACAATAACAGTTACTGTAAAAGAAGCGGAAATGAAAGTGGACATGCAGCCTCTCCAGACGGCCCCTGGGCCCTGGCCGGGGGCTCAGTTGGTGGGGCATCATCCCGGGCACCGGAAGGTGCAGGCTTGACTCCCGGTCAGGGCTTGAGCCCGGGCTGTGGGTTCAGCGTCCGGTCAGAGCAGGTATGGGAGGCGACTGGTCAATGTTTCTCTCTCACATAGATGTCTCTCTCTCTCTCTCTCCCCCTCCCTTTCTCTCTCAAAATAAATAAATAAAATCTTTTTAAAAAATTAAAAATGGAACTACCTCACGGCCCAGCAATCGCACTTCTGGGAATAGATCCAAAGAAACCTGAAACACTCATTCGAAAGAAGGTCAGCGCCCTACGTCCGCCGCAGCGTGTCTCACAGTCGCCGAGGTCTGGGGGCAGCCCAGGGCCCACCAGCAGGTGGGTGGGTAAAGAAGCCGCGGCACATTAACCCAACGGAGTGCTGCTCAGCCACAAAAAACAAGGCACTCTTACCTTTGGGACGACGTGGACGGACCGGGAGAGCACGAAGCTAAGGGAAATAAGCACGTCGGAGAGACAAGCACCACATGATTTCACTCACATGTGCAGTCTCACGAACACGCCGAACTAACAAAGTGGGCACAGGGTCACGGGCACGGAGAGCAGATAGACAGCTGTCAGAGGGGAGGGAGTTGGGGGCCGGGTGAGAAGGGGGCAGGGGTTAAGCAAAGAAAGACGCAAGGAGGACGGCCCGCAGGTGAGGGGGCGGGGGAGGCAGGGAGGGCAGAAATGGCTGCGGACCGAGACCGCTGACCTGGCGTGGCGCGCGCACGACACCACAGGCAGGCGGCGTGTTGTAGAACTGGACTCCAGCAACCTACATAGTTTTGTTAACCACTGTCACCCTAATAAAGTCAATAAAAATACTATATTGGCCAGAAAGTATGGAAATTAAGAACAGTTTCATTTCCCTCCCTTTTTTGAGTGTGTTGGGGTAAACAGGTGCTTGTCAGTGAAAACAATAACTGGTACGATTAACAGTCATATCGTAAGTCTTGGCAAAGACTTTTTTGGTACTTTTCATAAAAATTTAAGTGAATTATAATGAACGGCTGTAAGGGCTGAATAACAAATGCTTTTGTCAGCCAGGTAGCTTTTAATTCTTTACTGACAACAAAATTGAAAGGCAATCAAAATATCCACGTAAGAACATTAAAGATAACATGTTAGAGAACCGCGCACGACACTTTACTGAGCTCAGAGAACTGAGCGACGGTGCAGCGAAGAACCTGCTCCGCTGTCATCTCCGGATTTCCCGTGGGGTTCGGTGGGACCTGTGGGGGTGACGGCGGGTTCGTGCTGTGTCACCACGGCCCTGTCGACGCTGCCTTCCGCAGGTCGTGCGCCCATGGGTGGCCACGAAAGCACTTGCTGGTGGGTTGGAGGGTCTGGGAGAGGACTTGTCCCCTACATTCCTGTCCCTGGGGAACTCAGGCAACACGTGTCTCTTAACGTGTCTTGGAGAGCTGGCTTCCGCTGAGGAGTTGGGGCGCTTCTCCTCCTGACAATGAGAAGCAAGCAACTGATCGTACCGACCACTCTGCGTCTTTGTGTCGGCTCCGGAAAGCTCAAAGCCACCTGGAGGGCCACCTCCCGTTCGGTTACACTTCGTTACCTGCCTGTCCTTGTTCCAGCTTTTGGTCTGGCACGGCCCTCATTTTCTCTCTTTACATTTTATTTTATCGGATGTATTTGTTGTAAGACACCTCACATCACACATTCATCCTCTTGTCTGGATTGGCTATTTCTAAGGGTAGCTGGAGGATGTGTTACACTTTGGTTCTCCTAGGGCGTTGCCATGGTTTCCGCTGCCCCGAGTGTCCATCAGCCACAGGGAGGGACTGCTCAGTTACCCTGGGAGCTTTTGAGGGACCAGGGCTTCCACAGTGAGTGCACAGCACCCCGTGCCCAGCACAGGACTTTCTATAGAATGTCACCTGCCCTGCATGGGCGGGACAGTAACACCCAGTGAGAGTAACACCCAATTTCTTATGTCAGCTCCTCGGAGGAGCAGACTTTGCATCTGCACTAATTCCTGGAGCTCTTGTCACCAAGAACGAAAGATCCCTGTACAGACAGTAGCCTCTACACGTGTTATCGCAGAAGGAATGTGCTGAGTAACACCGGGTGGCGAACGCTTTCTCTGGTGATCGGGTTGAGAAAGTAGCTCCTTCATCAAACTGTGAACTCACTTAGCTTCACTCGTCTTTCTACGGATCCTCATTTAACGCTCTGGACACAGATCTTCTACGCTGCGCCCTACGATGGTGAGACTATCAGCAGTCAAACCACAAATGTCTATGCAAAACCGTTAGTTTATGAAAAGGGGCACCTGCAAAAGCTGTGCCCAAGTCTGTGCGTCTCCGACACGGCAGCGCGGGCTAGACGGCCAGGTGTGTCGTTCGGGCCGGCCTTGCTGAGCGTGAGGGACGAGGCCGGCTGGACACACCCCTGCCGGGGCCCAGGCCCTGCGGTCAAGCCCCAGGCGCTGTCGCTGGCTCTGTCCACGGGGCGCCCGCACGCCCCGTGTCTCAGGTTGGTCACTTGCCTGTAATGTCAAGCCATTGTTTTACTCTGAAAGCTCCAAATGCCTCCTTGAGCACAGCATGTATGACAGGGGCCAAGCCCCTGGCTACAGAAGGGCAGCTGTTTTTGAGTTATTTGACTGGACAAAAGGTCAAAAGATATCTTTCTCAGCAGGAAAGTGTAATTTTCCATGTCTCTGTGATGGTCGGAAACGGTTGAAGTGATTTTCCCCCTAAAATTTCCACAAATAAATAACTTGTACCAGCAGAGTAACTAATTGTGAGGCGCCTTGGCAAAAATGCAGCAGTAACCCTCTCCCCTCCTGTCCCTACCCCGCTCTGCACCCTTGCGGGGGCGCGGGGAGCAAGCCAGAGGCCCCCCCAGGTTAACTCAGAGCTTTCGAGCCCGGACTAAGGGCGTGGAAAGAGATTCTAAAAAGGCCCTGGACCGGGGGGTTAGAGCACAACCCTCCCCTCTGCCACCGCCAGTCCGGTTCCGGCGACACCCGGGCGAAGAGCCCTGGTGCCTGAGGCCACCCGGCGCCGGCCTGCGCAGGCGCGGCCGCCACGCTTCCGGGCTGTGCACGCGCCGTCTCGGTGTGTGTCCAGGGACTTCGCAGCTCACTTGCCCTTCCGCGCAAGTTCTGGCCTCCCGTGTGAAGGCACCTCGGCTTGCAGATGGGACTTGCAGGATTTGCCTCTGGGGGCCCAGGAATGTTCAGTATTTTTGTGTACTTTGCTCGGCGCTGCTCGGCCTGCAGATGGACCTGCCTGGCTGTAGAGTCCGGGTTCCCAAGACAGAGCCGAGGGCCACGGGCACGAGTAGGAGCAGGTCCTCCTGGAAGCCTCATCCTGTCGCCCCCGCCCTCGCCCCCGCCCGCCCACTGGTCGTCCCCTTGCCCGCAGGGCGAGCTTCCATTTTGACCTTAAACAAGAGTTTGGCCTTTTGGGAGGGAGGCGGGAGGTGGAGTTTCTGAGACTCCGTTCAGGGCCCTTGATGGGCTTCCTATTCCTACCCCCAGGTGTCTCAGGAGTATCCCTCTCAGTCACCCCCGGACTGTCTGATAACTGACAACCCTCAGGACGGTCGTAGTCCCTCTGCTTCGCGCACGGGTCACGTTTCACGAGTGTCTTCCTTGAGCCGTGCGCGTCTGCCCGTCACCCGCTCTTTGCCCAGTTGATGCTACGGTCCTCCGGAGCCCGCCACACGGCTGCGCGCCCAGGTCGGGCCGGTCGAGCCGGGGAAGCTTCGGGTGCCTGGTCACTGCCGTCGTCCCGGGCCGCGCCTGCGTCCCCACGCCCGGGCCCGGCCCCCCGGCCCCCCGGCCCCCCGGCAGTCTACGCCCGACCCCGTCTCCCGGGTTAAAAGACGTCTGCGCCGCGGCCCCTGCACGTGCCCCGCCCGCGCCCCCCGCCCGCCGCGGCGTCGGGGGTCTCGGCCGCGCCCCGCTCGACGTGGGTCCCTCCGGCGCCCGTGCGTCCGTGCGCACCCCGCGCGCCTCCGGCTGGGCAGGAACTTTCCTGCTGCCGGGGCGGGGGGCGAGTCGGACCGCTGGGAGGGGGGCGCGCGGGGCGGGGGGCGTGGGGGGCGGGGTGGGGGCGGGGCGCGGGCGAGGCGCGGGCGGGGGCGCGGGGCGGGCAGGCGGGCGGCGGCGGCGGCGATTGGCTGGGGCGCCATCCGGGGCCTGCTCGGCGCCGCTCGCTCGCTCGCCCTGAAGGCAGCAACATGGCGGAGGTGAGCGGGGCCCGGCGGGAGGCGGCCGAGCGGCCCGGCGTCCCTGCGTCCCCGGCTGGCCTGGGCGTCCCGGGCCGCCCGCGTCTCTGGCGGCGGGCGGGCGCGGGCTCTCGGCGGGACCAGGCCGCGGCGGGCGGGCGGGAGGGCGGAGGCGGCGGGCGGCGGGCGGCGAGCCCCGGGCCGGGGACGGCGCCGAGTCGGGGCCGCGGGCAGACGCGGAGCCCGGGCGCTGCCTGCGGGCGGACTGCGGGGCGGCGGCGGGGCCGCGACACTGCCCGCGGGAGGAGCGGCTTCCGGCTGCGGGGTCCAGGTTGCGGGCGCAGAGGGGAGCGGAGGACGGGATGCGGGAACCCGAAGGTGCGGGGCCGGCGGACACCCTGCGCCCTGCGCTCCGGGGCCCTCGGCGGCCCTGTCCCCTGCAGGCTGCCGGCCGCGTCCCCCGGGACCGGTGAGCCGGGGTTCGGGGAGGGGGGTGGCGAGGAGGCCAGGGGACAGGACCCCCGGGAGGGACCAGCGTCCCCGCACTCCGCACGGAGGATGCGTTCCCGCTCCCGTTTGGGGAGACGGTCCGCCTGCGCTCCGGCCTCCGCTCGGCCCGGACTGGGGCCCCGGGCGCGGGGTGCGCAGGTGCCGGGGGACCAGGACAGGACCGGGCAGCCGAGGGGTTCGGGGACCTGAGGTGCGGGGTGGCGCCGGGGTTGCGGACCCTACTGCTCCGGTTGTAACTCGCTGAGCGCCCAGGCCGGCAGTACCCGCCTGTTAGACTCGGGTCCGCGTCGGGCGCTCGAGAGGGGGGCCGGGAGGGGCCGGGAAGGCCCGGGGCGAGCGCGGCGGGTGGGTCTCCTCCGCGCTGGGGCGGGCGGGCGGCCTCTCCGCCCGCCGCGCCGGCCGCCCCGCTGACCGCTCGCTTTCTTCTCCTCGCAGGCTTCTTTCGGGAGTTCCAGCCCAGGTGTGTCCTGTTTCCTCACCTCTCCTGCGGGTCCCCCGGGTGACGGGGTAGGAGACCTGCCGCTGAAGGTTTTCCCACAAAAGTTTGTCCTGCGTCGTTTGTTTTTAAGTTTGAGTGCCCGTTTTTGGTAGTTGAGTTGTGATCAGCCCGGAATAACAACCTTCCGGCAACACCGTTGAATTACAATAATCATCTTTTCCGTTTTCATGCCTTTATATTATTCTCTTTTTCTTTTCTTGTTTAAGAAAACACCGTGTTACAAGGCAGATGACAGACAACTGTGCTTTAATTCTAACACATCGTGTTCTTTTCTCGGAGCAGAAAACAGTTAATCCAAAATCATCTTTCCACAACTTCGGAAATAGAGCGTAGATGTAACTTTTGACTCTTAATTTGTTAGAACGCTGGGGCTGCTATTGATAATTACAAGGACCCCACCCCCGGTTTTTGTCTTGTACATTTTTCAGTGTTGGGAGATGTCTTTCGATTGTGTCCTAATGGAAATTTGAGGGGTGAGGCTGCCTTAATCAGGAGAAACGCGGGACCGCCAGGTCGCGCGTGGGAGTGGCGGTGGCCGCCTGAGGGCCGCCAGGCCGTCCAGCGCGCGGACCCTTAGCCCTGGGGTGCCGCGCTCCCTGTGAGGATGTGATGAGACCCGGGGACGCGCACGAACTGCGCGCACAGGCACCGCTGCCGCCCGTCCGGGGGTGGGGACCCTGACACCGTCCCTGGTGAGGGCCCGGCCTGCGCTGCTGAAACGGGAGCGGAGCTTTCTCTGCACCTCTCACGGTCCCAGCCCCTCGAGGCTGCCGCCTCCCCCTCCGGCCTGCAGGCAGCCTCTGTCCGACTGGGCGCAGCTCCCTGGGTTCCCCGGGAGCAGGCGCCGGGGCCTGGCTGCGCAGAAGCGCCCAGTCGGGCGGGGCGGGGGCCCCCACATCCTGCTGCCCGGCGGTCCTGGCGTGGGGCTCGGTGTTCAGTCCCCCTGGGAGGCCTCACTTAGTCCTCGCGCAGGGCATCGTAAAGTAGTTCACACCAAGGACAAGAGTTCGTGGCTACTTTAACTGCCTACGTCTTCACGTTTAAAATCGTTTTCGGACGTTTCTGTAATTTTAGACAAACATCTCTTTGTTATAACTGATTTCAGGAAAAGAATCTCCATGTGCATGATGCCAAACATCTGGATGATAATGGGATTTTTCCATTTCTATCACTGCTGTTAAGACGCTGCAATCTCGACAGGCAAAATGACGGTGTGGTTTTGGTTTCTAAACAAACTTATAATCTGTTTTCAATCGATGAGTCGATTTTAAAGAGAATTTTAGAGCTGGGAGAGACTTGAGGTCATGGAAGCCAACCCCGTGTGTTTGACACGCGAACCACTGGCCAGAGGCCCAGAGTTTAAATGCCTCGCCTCAGGTCCCCGAAAGCCAGGGACAAAGCCAGGAGGAGACCCCGGGGCCCCTCGTTTCTGGCTGTTACTGGTGCCTTCCATGGTGACCAGAGCCTGCAAGCGAGGCCGGGTGTGGGGACCGCGCGGCCGGCAGGACCCTGCCCTGGGGGGCGGGGCGTGGGGCCACGGAGGCCCCAGGGCTGCCTCGGGGACACTGTCAGGGGGGTGTTCTGCTTTAAGCTATTTAATAACACTTTTCCTTTAAAGTTAAATTAATCCACCTATGCTTTCACAGATTTTAAAATGAGCAGATAATCCTTTTAACACAAGAAAGTAACACGATACAAATCTCCTAAAGAATAAAGCCCTATAGAAATTACATGTGTGTATTTTTTTGAGCAAATGATGACAATTGTCCAAACTCAATCAAAAACACTGACTTATATGTCTGTTTTTTTCCGTAGTGAAAAATCCTAGGTCTGGTTCAGTGTTATATTAGTGATGTCATGCTGTCTTTAAGTGTTTGAAATTTCAAAATGCTAAATAGTTTGACTAGAAAGAGATCAAACTTTGTTGCTGAGTGTGTGCCTGTCCACTCCTCCCTTCCTCCACGCCAGGGTTCTTAGGCTTCCCTCCTGGCTCTGAGAGTCGCTAGTCTAATTGAATTAGATTCTGGAGCAAAACACATGGAGAAAATCCATTTTTCATCATTTGATTTCATTCTCTTGGGATTATGGATCTTATTTATTTTTCCACTTTGTTTTCAGAGTATCTCGTTAAAACTTCATATTTGTCATTAAAATGTATTACAATTATACAAGCAACTATGAATTGACCAAAACAACGTGCAACGGGCTGTGTCTTTCAGAACCTGTGACTTTTCTAGATTCCCTTCGTGTCACCCTCCGCATTCTTTGTCGTGACCCCGAGAAGAGCGTGTCCGTGCACCCTCACGCCTGCGTCACGCGGGCCGGGGGCCTGAGCGTGGTGGCGGCCCGGGGGGGGGGGGGCAGGCTGCACCAGGCTAGGCTGCCGCGTGGGGCCTCACAGAACCTTGTGCATGTTCAAAGCCAAATTTCTGTTGTATTTTGCACTTTTAACTGAAGTTTGGGATTTGGGTAACACCTATATTCGCTTCTCCCAAAGTGTTTACCCTCAGCATGTAGCAGATTCTTTTGGAATCTTTGATTTTTAATCTTTCTGCCATTTTTCCTTTGCTTTTAGACAAATGTATTAAACCTCATAAGCAAGTTTGGCATTTCTTTGAGAACATTTTTTAGAATCAGTCACCTAGGAATCACTTCGCTGTATTGCGAGGCTCCCCCTTGGGGGCTGCCGTCCTTGGGGGAGCGCCGTGAAACCGCTCCGCCCGCCCCTTCCACCGGCTCAGGTGTCTGTCCAGGGCAGCGGTCCCACTTGGTGACTGTGGAGGGGGCAGCTTCCGTGAGTGGCCACCTGGACCTGTGACACGACTGCGCCCCTCTCGTCCCACAGGGTCTCTGTCCTCGGAGGACCATGACTTCGACCCCTCCACGGAGACGCTGGCGCAGAGCTGCGACGACGACAGGGCGCTGGAGGAGGAGGAGGTGACAGCCGCGGGCAAGGGCTTCCGCGCGGGGATCGAGGACCTGGAGAAGGTACGGGCCGGCCGGCCTCCCGGCGAAGGCTGGGAAACGCTGCCGTCGGCTGTCGGCTGTCGGCTGTCGGGCCGTCGGCCGGTCCGTGCCGGCCGCACTGAGCAACGCTGATTTCCCCGTCGTTCGGGAGCATAGCCTCATAAGTGCAGTTTTGTTTGATTTTTAAAGACGATTTTCTATCTGCTAACCTGTTTTAAGCGTCGGCCAGCCCAGTGAGGGTGGCACGCGATGGCAGGCGGGCTGTGGCCGTCCAGCCTGCTGTGGCCTGGCCGGCCCTGGCCCCCACCCTGTGGCCAGGTGCTGGGCCGCGCTGTCCTGGGCGGGGTGTCGAGCTGCCGCGAGCTGCCGTGGACGCGGGGGCCGGGGGGGCCTGCCCCGTCTGCGGACGTGCTGTCTTGTAGAATAGAGTAAGGACGTTAGAAGAGAGAGGGTTTGCCCTGTTTTAAAATGTGAGTCAATGATGCCCCATTTTCTATCCCCCCATCATCTTTTTAAAAGTTGGCAGGAGTAAATGTCGTTCATAGCTTTTTAAGTTCAAAACCAGTGTAAATTCAAACAAACTGGATTTTAAACACGTATTTATACCAGGATTGAAAAGAGAGGCCTGCACAGGAATCGTCCTGAAAAACCTCTGATTGTACTTCTCAATACGTTAACCTTATTTGCACATCTCTGTTCAGTCCAGGGTAATGGCACCTTTCAGGAACACCATGGACTAATAATAATAACTTGGCGTTTTCGTGCTCCCTTTTCTTGAAGACGACGAAGCACACGTCTTCCATAACCTCTTCTGCTGACTTCGTGAGGCGGGGGGGCTGCTCCCCCTCTCAGGACACAGGGAGCCAGAAGGCAGGGGCCCCCGGGGCTCCGGGCTGGGACCCCAGGCTTGCTCTGCTAGACCCGCGTTTTCTAAACATGCCTATTCACTTGGCAAATTAATCCAGCATAGTTGCAGTGAGATTTAATCCTTTAAAAAATAGGTACATCTGTGGAAGCCAAACATATTAGAGAGCAGAGAGAGAAATTGGGAGGAGGTCCTCGGGGAGAAAAGCCTTGCCTGTTGCTGCTTTAAGGGGCGATGATAAAGCACGAGCTGCCGGTGAGGACAGAGGCCCGCGCGCCCAGAGTCCGGCGCCGGCCTTGCTGCTGGGGGCCTTCCTGCCCCTGCCGGGCCCTGGGCCTGCGGACCGCGCCCCCAAAGTTGAGCTCGCGTCGAGTGTGGGGTGGGCGGGCACACAGACTTCAGTGTCGTGTGCTAAGAAGGACGAGCGGTCGGCGGTGAGCCGCTGGGAGGGCGGGGTGCCTGCTGAGCCTGGCGGGGCGTCACCGGACGCCTCCTGAAGGGACGCTTCTCCCAGCTTTGTGACTGGGCTCCGGGAGGAAGCCCGTGCGTGGGGTTCCTGCGGGGTGGGGCGCGCCGGGTCGGGTCGGGTCAGGGTTTGGGCACCAGGCCAGCCCCCCGAGGGGCCTGTGCGGTGTCATCCCTGGGGCGGCCGCCTTCGCCAGTGGGGCCTGCGCTGTGCCTCCCGAGAGGGTTTCCCAAGAGACCCCCGGGCCCTCCTGTTGGCCCCCCACGCACATTCTGCGGCCGACCCTCGCGTCCTCGCGTCCCTGCGCCCCGGCCCCGCCCCGGGCTGCTCTCCCGCGCCTGCGCCCCGGCTGCCCCCCCATCCCCCAGGGACACGTGCGCAGCCCCCGGCCCAGCGCCGCGCTCCTCGCCGTCCTCTGCGGGCCTCTGTGCTTTGCCCCCAGCGGCCGCTGGCTGACCAGCGGGAGGAGGCCATGTCCGCCTGCATCTCCCTGGGCTGCTCTCTGACACTCGACCCAAGTCACCAGACCTGCCTTCTCCTCGCTGCGTCCCCTGCGGCCGGGTTGCCGGGCCTGTCCTGCCTCCCACGTTGCGGCGGGGGTGTCCCCGGCGCGTCGGCCCTGGCGAGCCTCCCCAGGTTCGAGCCCAGTTCGCCCTCTCCCCGGCAGTCCCACCCCTACCCCCGCGGCCTTGTGCTCCTGCCCTGGTGCTCCGGCTGTGTCGCCAGAAGGGGCCATCCCTCTAGACTCAGTGTCGCTTTTGCTGACTCTGTCAGGTCAGTCAACAGTCAGGTTTCTTAATTTCGCTGGGATCCTTCTTTAGGGCGGGCGCATGCTGTGCCCGAGGGCGTTACCTCCGGAGTGCGAATCGCCTTTAGGTTTCCCAGGCCTGCCCGTTGCCTGCAGGTCCTCGCACCTGGAAGTTCCTGGAAGAAGGCCCCGCCCCTTCACTTTGCTCTGTCCCTTCCCCCGGGGAGCGGGTCCCCGCCTGGGGCTTTGCTGCCGATTTCAGCCCCAGCCCCAGCCCCTGCCCTAGCCCTCCGGGCTCCGGGCCAACCAGGCTGTCCCTCTTGGTGTCCCTTAGTCCTCAGACCTACCGCGCGTCCCCTGTGGAGCCCTTTTTAGCCTCAGCTCTGTCCGGGCAGCGTCCCACTGGGCGCGTGTCTGCCTGTCCCTGGGTGCCCCTGCTGGCGACGCCGCCGGCTGTGTCTCAGGTGCGCCTCCTCTCCGGGAACCCGCTCACATCCCCTGGCCAGCGGGCGGCGTCTCGTGCTCCCTGCCCCCCCGCCCCCCACTGCCCGCGGGGGCCCAGCCTTTGTAGAGAAAGGGGAGGTGGTCCTGTGGTCGTTCGCCAGCGGCTGCCCGTTGCCAGGAGCGAAGGGCACACGTGCGCGCCCCTGTGGCTCGGCATTTGAGGGCCCACGGAGCCCTTTCGCGTCCGTTGCGGGGGGCACTGCCCGTCTGCGCCCGTCGGGGGGCCCTCAGGCTGTGAGTCGTCGGAGGGCGGGACCGGCAGCGTGTGCTCACGCCGGCTCAGGGGCCTCCTGGTGCCCGGCCACTGCCGAGCCGGTGCTTCCCACGCCTGGTCGCACACCTCTGGGACTCGGCCCGCCTGCCAGGCCGCCTCCTGCGCAGGGCTGACCCGCCCTCCCTGGGGGTCCGCCTTCCGTCCCGGGGGCCACCAGCGCACAGCCCAGGTCCAGAGCTGACTCTGATTGTTCACTCGCCAGTTTTTCCCCCCAAGACGGAGCTCCTTGGCAGCAGGGGCTTTCCACACGTGTCGCTGCTGCGCCCGCAGCTGCTGCGCCGAGGGGAGCGCGGGCCGGGCCACCAATGCACGACCGTGCCCTCTGTGTGGCTCGGGGACGGAACCTGAGTGGTGAGGTGTTGGAGAACTGGCCCGTCGCCGCCGCTGGCACCGCCTCCGGGACCCGTATGAGCCCCCGGGGAGGGCTGCGCCCCAAAGGGGCAGGAGCGGCGGGTGCGAAACCCAGGTCCTTGGCAGACGAGGCGTTTAGGAGGCCGACCCAGCCTGGCCGGCCGCTCAGCCTGCGCGGCTCCCTGCGGGTTCTGTCCTGGGCGGAGCGGGTTCTGTGGGCCACATGGAGTGGCCGGGGGTCACGCCTGCCCGCCCTCCCCGAGGTCGCTCAGGATGGACTTCCTCCCGCCAGGAACGGCAACAGGCGTGAGGGTGGGACCTGCAAGTGGCAGGCGGCCTCTTGGGGACCCCATCCCTGTCCGCTCGGCTCCCTCTCGGCGGGCACTGCGGGAGCCCTCCGGCCCCCAGCACACGGTGCCCAGTGGTGACTCCACGCGCGCCCCCCCCCCCCACCGCCTGGCCACGCGTGACTCAGGCGCGTTCCCTGAGGGGGCCCAGCTGGCTGTGAACTCGAGCCTCTTCAAGGACGTGCATAGGCTCGTGAAAATGTTTAACAGGGTAACCCGCCCATGGACGTATTTCTTAAAGTTATTTATTTGAATAATTATAAATAGTTCTATACATTTTAGTAATTGAATTAAAATTTTCAAAGGAAATACAGTTGACCCTTGAACAGTGGGAGGGTTAGAAGCACTGACCCCCAGCCCTCTGCACAATCAAATCCATGTGTAATTTTTTATTCCCTAAAAAATTAGCTAATAACCCACTGTTGGCCAGAAGCTTTACAGAAAACAGTCAACACGTATTTTGTATGTTATATGTATCATATACCATATTCTTATAAAAGCTGGAGAAAGAAAATGGTAAGGTTTGTCTGCGAGTCTTTTTAAATTGTCACGAATCTCCAAAAAGTTTTTCAGTGTGTTTATTGAGAAGACCCGCGTCCTTCTAAAGGGATGCCCGAAGTTCACCGCCTGGTGGTCGCACTCCGCTGAGCGCGTGCGCGTTCAGGGCCTGGCGGGCCTGCGGCTGGTGCCGCCCTAGGGCATGGCCGGTTGAGAACTGGAGCGCTGGGATTCGAACCCAGAGCTTAGCCTCCGTTTTCTCACCTGTAAGGTGGTGGTAACAATACAGCCTTCAGTACATGGTTTAGGAAAATAAAACCAAAACAGGTAGCTAGCGTAGTAGGAACACAAAAGGATGACTGTGTTATGAACATTCACAGTAAATATTGTTGGTGTTAGTAAATGTTCAGCAAGGGTTTCCCATCGGGTGTCTTCTTCTAATAATGTGCAGAATAAATAAACCAAGTGGCAACTGTTAATCACCAAGAAGAGCTGACTATTACACGAGGTTGTTGATTGATTGGGAATGTTTTTGCGGGACGTCTCAGTGAGGCCGCCCTGGAAAATGGGAACCGGGAGGCTGGCTGTTGGGCTGTTGTGACCACATTAACAATGGCTCTCGGCGCTCGAGCCTGTCACCTGGCGGGGGCCTTGGGGGGGGGGCGTGTGCGTCGGGGCGGGCACCCGCACTCATGTCTGCCGCCCCGCAGGAGGGGAGCATGCCGCTGGAGGACCTGCTGGCCTTCTACGGCTGCGAGCCCGCGCTGCCCGCCGTCGCCGACGCCAGCGTGGACAGCTCGCCGAGCGGCCTGGCCGACGAGCTTCCCGACATGACCCTGGACAAGGTGAGTGCGGCCGTCCGGACAAGGCGCTCTGGTCCGCCGCCGCTGACTGCCCGTTAGTTTCCCCGAACTTAAAGGGTTTTTAATTGTGAAGTGTGAACTTCTCATTGGCCTGTTGCTCCTCCCACTTTGGTGGCCGAGTTGTGTGTCACTTGGCTGTGACTACACCGCTGTGAAAGCCGTGTGGCTTCCTAACTCCGCCACCCCCGTCTTTCCCGTCGTCCCTGTGCCGACGTACTCTGCCCAAGGAAGGTCTTGCCCTCACCTCTTTGATCCTGTGAGCCCTTGACTGGCCTTGATCAGGGAGTCCCCCGGGGGCCTCAGTCTGCGCTGACTTGGCGGGGGAGGCTGGGGACAGGTTCATGTCCAGGGACCCATCGCTGACAGGCCGGCTGCGGGGGAGGCCCAGTCCCCGCGGAGGAATGTCCATCACTCCATCTCTGCAGATGGATCCTGGGAGCCTCCCTCGCCTCCTGGTCTCAGGCAAGGAGAGGAGCCCACCTCTTGGAACCTCTTCCTATGAGTTACTTTCCCACCTCTCAGTTGAACAAGGCATGGCTGTGCCACAGAGCCTGCGACTGCAGCCGCCGGGCAGACTGCGCTCTGGCTGGGTTCGCACCTGCACGGCCACCAGTGTCTGGCCAGGGCCACTCATTAGCCGGACCTCCCGCCGTATGGGAAGGGCGGACTCACCAGGCTTTGGGCTTGTTCCGTAGTCTTCCCTCAGCAGGGGGGCGGGCGGCAGGGGGTTGGGCCCAGGACCCTTGAGTCCCCACGTCCGTCCGAGGATGCTCCGACCCCGCGGTGGAATGGCACGCGCGCCCGCCCACGTGCCGCAGGCCGCCTGCCCTGGCTCTGGCCCGCACGCCGCGGCGCAGCAGGGCAGCGCACCAAGAGGCCTGCGTGCCCGGACAGGCTGCCCTGCCCCGGCCCGGCTGCCTGGGGCACGGCAACAGCGGGCGTTTTCTCCCCGTATTTTTGATCCCCTGTTGGTTGAACTGTGGGCGTGAAACCCTCAGATGCTGAGAGCTGACTGTTTATTTTGGCAGAAAGTGAGTTTGTTAACCACTTAGCAAGATTATTTTTGTTTTAAAGTCACTGAAAATTAGTTTGCTGCTTCAGATAAGCTTTTTGCATAGTCACAAATTAGGCAAATTGTTGTAAATGTGTAATAGTATAGTTATTAAGTGTAATTAAGTCTTAAATGTTTTTAAATATTTACATGAAGTAAATTACAGAATTTCAGATTCTCTCAAAACTAAAGGAGCTTCAACTAGTTCCTAATTACAATAGCATAATAACGTCTGTAAATGGTGTTATGAAAAGATTTTAAAAAAACGGACGAGATGACGGCATTCCTAACACCCGGTCCCCACAGGAGGAGATCGCAAAGGACCTGCTGTCGGGGGACGACGAGGAGACGCAGTCCTCGGCGGACGACCTGACCCCGTCCGTGACGCCCCACGAGGCCTCCGACTTCTTCCCGCGGCCGCTGCGATGTAAGGGCGCGGCCTGCCTGCCAGGCGCGAGGCCGCCGCTCCGGCGCGGCTGTGGTTTGCCGCATTGAGTAGCTTGTCAAAATAGTCTTGGTTTTTTTACATGATTGCAATAAAATGCTATTATGATCTGAATAAGAATATAACCCTTCTTATCGAGATCGAGGTCAGCTGTCCCTGTGGTGATCAGTCCTGGTTCAACCTTGAAATTTCATGGGCTGGTTTTGGACTTTTGAAAGGCCCTCATGCTCATGTTTTAAAAACTATCAGTTGCTCAAAATGTATTTTTTACTTTTAGTGATTTAATCATTTTGTTTCTAGTCCCTGGTGTTGCCCCTTAATGTGTATCAGTAATATTTAGAAGGTCTTTGCACAGAAATAATTTCTTAGGTGCAACTTACTTCACAGGCCTTTTTATGGTATGACTGTTCGGTTCACTAGTTCACACACACGTGCACACACAGACCTAGCCGTGCGGCCCTGTGCGGCCCATGGCCTCTCCCCTCGGGGCGGCCTCGTGGTCTGCACCCCTGGGCCGGGCGCCAGGCCACCAGAAGGGGTCTCGGGGCACCCAGCCCACGGCCCAGGACGGCCCTGAGTGTGGCCCCACACGAAATCCTAAGTTTACTTAAAACAGGAGATTTTTGTGTGATTACACGTCACGGTGCATTTACTGTGTGGCCCAGGACGGCTCTTCTCCGTCTGGTGTGGCCCCTGCACCCACCCTCTCAGCGTTTCCGTGTCTCGTCTCGGGTCAGAAACGGGAGGATAGCGCGTGAGGTTCCGTGCTGCCCTCGTGGAGTCGGCACGTTTTAGGAAGTCCGGGCAGGCGCCAGGGACTCCTCTGCGTGCTGCAAAACCAGGCGATGCCAACGTTGTGGAATTTAATGTTCTCCTCCTCAGCAAACACCACCTGTGATGGGGACAAGGAGTCCGAGGCAGAGGACGCGGAGACGGACGGCGGCAACTCGCCCGAAGACCTGAGGAAGGTGAGTCGAGCTACCGTCACGACGGAGCGACCATGTGGACTCAAGTACTGATGTGGCTTTTTAAACGATGTAAGGAATTTCTTGACCATGTGACGCGGTTTCTGCAGTCGCTGAGTCACGAGTTGGAAGTTGTTCGGGGGCGTGTTTCTCTAATCGGTCGTTTTCCCGTAGGAAATAATGATCGGCTTGCAGTACCAGGCGGAGATCCCCCCTTACCTCGGCGAGTACGGCGGCGGCGGTGAGGAGAGAGGTGAGGGGCGAGGATCCGGGGCTGCTCGGCCGGCCGCCGCTTAACGCGCCCGTGGAGCTGCCTGAGGAGGACGCGGCCCTGGCCACAGAGAGTTTCCTGGGTCGGGGCCGCGGGCCTGGCTCCAGCGCGCTGGCCGCGCCGCCCTCCCTGGCTGCACAGGGCTCCGCCGCTGGCGGCTCTGGCTCGGGCGGAGGTGGGCAGAGCCTCGTCCCGGGAGAGCGCGAGCGCTAGGACACGGCCCGTTGGGAGGAAAGCTCCTGGGTGAAAAAGGCCAGGAAGGCCGCTGCCCAGCCCCCGAGAGGAGGCGGTGGACCGTGGGGCCGTGCGTGGCCGCCACCTACCGCCGTGCGGGCGGACCCCAGCTGCGGCGTGTTCTGCAAGCGGGGGCGGGGCGGGGAGTGGAAGCGCGCGGCACCCGTGTGCAGGCTGGGCGGCCGGGGTGGCCGTGCGGTGTGACCGTGCCCCTGAGGGCTGGCTCGGTCCTGTGGGGTCATGGCGGCAGCACAGCGGGTCTCCCGCTCCTCTCTCCTCTGGGTCAGGTTGTCCCCACGGAAAGGCAGGGAGGGCCAGTCACCCCAGCCAGCGGCTGAGGCCGTCCTAGCAACTCCACTGCCTTGGGCCACCTTCCGAATGCTGGGGACAGCTGTCCAGGAGCCGGCAGCAGCTGCCGCCCTCAGCTGGCCTGGCGGCTCCACAGCCCCACGCCCTGCGGGTCCTTGTAGGGCACCTGGGCCCCTCAGCTCTGTGCACACCCAGGAGGGAAGGGGCACCTTCTCTGTCCCGGGAGGGAGCAAATCCGAACTCTCCCACCTGTGTCAGTCTTGACCAAAGAGCAGAGCGACTGGTCCCAGAAGCCGTGCTGCGGCCACGCCCCGCGCTGACTCTCCCGCTTGCCGGGGCGGCACTGCCGCTGTCCGTAGCCCTGAGCCTGGCGCCCTGGCCGCGTCCCCGCCGTGCAGGCGGCTGCCCGCCGAGCACTCGTTTCCCCCTGAGGGCGGCTGTGCCTGGAGCTCGGGGGCGCCTGGGGCTCGTGGGCGTCCGCCCGCCGGATGCGCGCCCGCGTCAGCGGCAGTGCGCTCGTTCGCACACCAGCCTCTTCAGGAGAGCGTGGCGAGTTTACGTCTCTCTTTTTCACTTTTGATTACTCTGCCTTCTATAAATAAAAATTCAACTTTGGGGAGGAAGTCAATAAAGGAAAAATAGGCCTTTCTTAGGTATTTCATTATTGTCAGATGTTTTAGTTTTTACTTATTTGTTTGGTCAATTTTTAGTGCTAGACATTTTGCAGAGCCATTCGGGGAGCTCGGCGGGGAGCTCCGTGCAGCTACTGACGAGCTCGCGCAGGTCCCCCTACCCCTGCTGGGAGCTGGGAGCCACGTCGCGGGGTTTGCCTTCGACGTCAAGGGGCAGAGCGCGCCTCTGACCAGTTATAGATGCAGCCACTGAAAAAGCCGCCTGCTTTAGCCGCTGCTTGTTCTTCGTAAAGTTTAAAACATTTTTAAAGTTTTGCTGAGGAAAGGGCGCACTTGCCAGACAGTGGGGCGCAGGTGTCGCCTGGCAGGAGCCGGCGGGGAGGGGCCGCGTCCGTGCTCTGTGTGTGCTGTTGCGTGTGCTGTTGCATGTGCTCACTGTTCCCGTGTCCCCAGGGTGCGACCAGGAAGACCAGCTGCTGTGGCGCCCTGGCGTGGTCCTGGAGAGCAGAGTGAGGGAGTACCTGGTGGAGGCCTCACTGAGGACAGGGGGCCAGAAGGCGGCGGACCGGGGCGTGGCGGGCGCACTCACCAGGGACAATGAGCAGGTGGGCCCGCCCAGCCTTGCGGGCACAGCGGCCGCGCGTGGGGTCTTCTCCACGGGCTTAAATCTCTCTCACGTGTTCCGTGCATGTCAGCTGGGTGTCTGTTTGTCTTTATTATTTTATTTTTATTTTTTGACGTTTCTTTTTTGAGGGGTTTTTAAAACTTGGAAAATACTGGTTAAAAAAATCTCAGGACTCTACTATATTTTGTCTTTTTTTCTGGTTTTTTTTGTACATATCTTTAGATGCTGTTTTGTGTTCTTTAACCACTGAATCTTATTTTTTTTTTGTCATTGAGAATTCTTTAAAACTTCCTTCTGGATGACTGTGTGTTCTGTTCTATGGTTGTAGTGCCACTCACTTAAACCTTCTCTGTGGGACACTTAGATTTATGATAAAGGTGTTCGGGTTATTCTCGAGCTGCCCTGCGTCTTGGTCATTGGGGGGCAGGGCTGGGAATGCTGCCTGTGAAGGACCCTTTCGGGGGCCCCGTTTTGCCCCGACATCCGTTGGCCCCTCCTCTGCCTTCCACGCAGCGTTGCCGCCTTGGTGAGGCTGACGGATGGGGCCTGCGGTGGGGACTCAGACCTGCTCCTGCATCGCGGGCGGAGCCATGCTGCTGAGCGTCCGGCTCCTCAGCCTCAGAGGAAGTCCTGTCAGGGGTTTGTGCTGAGGGGTCGCGAAAGCTGTGAACTAATTTTGGAAAAATTAGCACCTTCAGTGTGAACCCTTGCACTTCGAGAACGCGGTCTGTGACCCTCACGTATTGGACCTTTTTTATCACTCATGTTTTTGTTTGAACACAGCATGCATCTAATTAATTTAATGCATTCACATGAATTTGTACTCGGTGCCATTATAAGTGGGATCTCTGTTATATTTGCAACTGAACCTCATTAATCCAGAGGGACAGCCGTTGTTTCTTGGGTCTTTCCTCAAGCTGCTGAGCTGCCGACACGGTGGCTTTCCGTTGTCTCTTCTGGGGCTCCCAGTCTGGCGTTGCCCTGGGCTTTCACCTTCATTCCGTCTTTGCTGTTGCTCTGCTTCTCGCTCCTGCGCCAAGTCTGGCCACGTGAGCCGCGGGCCCCGGTCGCCGCGGGGGCTGCCAGCCCCAGGCCCACCCGGTGGCCGCCGGGGGCGGGGGGGCGCCGCCTGCTCGCTCACGGCTGCCATGGTTCTGTTCTCTCAAAACTGGAAATGCCACTAATTTATGAGATGCCTTTTTAGCAGCTGTTGAGGTTTTTTAATGGTTGATAATTCATGCATTGATGGTTAATTTATTGATATTAATATGCCAATAGGTTAAATTAACACATGAAATTAGTATAGGTTTACCAGTATTGAGCCATCCTTGCCTTTCTTGAAATTTACTTGGGAAGGTGGATTGTTAGTTAATTTTCCATTCATTTCTATGTACTCTATTTAGTATATTTGTAACTTCACATACAGTTAATAGGAAGAAATTCCAATTTTAAAAAAATGGGATCCTTCTTGGGAGATGGCAATGACTGACACCACCGTGAACCTCAGCCACCGAAGTGCCCGCCCCTCCCGCCCTCGTTAAAACTCTCGTAGGAAGGAGTCGGTTCTGAAGAGCTGGGCTGCAGCTCCGACTCCTCCAGCTCCAGAACGTGGTGCGGAACGGGGGGTCCCCCAGCTCGGTGGCCCTGGCAGGCGACAGTCAGGGGTGATGCCGGTGGACCCTCTGGGGGGCGTGGGGGTGGGCGGGGCCCTGGTTGGGTCCCCATGTCTGCAGGGCGGTCGTGGGACTGAACGTCCGAGCGGGCGCTCCCCCAAGCATCTCGGAGTCAGAGCATTGCCGCCCGGGGTCGCCAGGACTCTGCTGTGCACTGGGCTGGTTTTTCATGCTGCTGAGGGTGAACTTGTGCTTATTTTTATTGAGTAGTCGTTCCCTCCCTTTCCTAGGCGTTGTACGAACTTCTCAAGTGTAACCATGATGTCAAGGAAGCCATCGAGAGGTACTGCGGCCACGGGCGGGCGTCGCCAGGTGAGGGCCTCCGGGGCAGGAGCGGGCGGCGGGGGCGGCCGGGGGCAGGGCAGCACGCGTCGTGAGGGACAGAACGATCCTCTCACGCTTTTGTAAGGTCTTTGTTCATCTTCGTAGCAAATAATTTCTTCTTTTCTCTTGCCCTCTATTTTTAGACATACCAGAGATTGTTCAAATAAAGTTAGTCCCCCCCTGTCACCTCCACTTTCTTGAAGAACTAGTTACAGAACAAAGCAGACCCCAGGGATGACAGTATGCCCGAAGTAATGCAAAAGAACGATTTTATGATTTCATTGGGGAAAAGAAGTTGTTCTTTCTTTTTTGGGGGTGGGGAGGATGGGCAGGAAATGGAAGATTAAAGATTTCAAAGAGAAAACATGTATAGTTAGAATATGCCATTGCATTTATTGCAAGAAGTGTATTTTTAGTAATTACGTAACAACATTTTTACAATGCTTAGGTTTTGTGCGTGCGAGGAAGATGGTTCACTTTAATGGCAGTGTTTCGTCACCATGGACACGGGTCGCGGGTCCCGTAGCTTTCATTGAATACGTGTCAAGTGAAATAATACTTAGTGACGGTACAGAAATGGCCTGGAAAAATATAAAAGCTGAAAACAGCACATTGAAACTGTAGGCTGAGATACCCTATTGAAATGTTTCCTTGTAAAAGTTGCTTCTTTGAAAAAACATTGTTTTAAGTTCTCATAACTCTGGAAAACAAAGATACTGGTTTCCTCCCTAGTTCAAGCCGGCCTTCCCCTGTCCTTCCCCTACGGGCGGCCTTGGGGGCCTGCGCCCAGCGTCCCCTCTGCCTGGGGGGGCCTGTCCGCACCCACCTGGCTCAGGGCCTGGGCACCCAGGGGCGAGCGGCTCTGACGTCCTTCGTGTTCCCAGCGCACAGCACTTGGAACGCCGGCTCCAGATAAACATGTATTGGCTACTTATGGTCTTTATTTAAAGAACTTACAGTTATGATGCAAGACCAAAATAAAGCTGATTTTTTTCAAGTAAAAAACCTATGTTTTTAACTTAAAAAAATATATGTGCTCCTTGTTTTAAAAAAATCAAAACAACAGTGAGCATAAATTATAGAAAAACATTAAATTCTTACTCCACCATGCAGGGAAAAAAATCCCAGTGTTTATATTTTGGTGTTCGAGACTCTTTGATAAGATTTACAGTGTTCATACTTTTGGTGCTCCGAGCAGAAATCTCCCACCCAGAGAACGTGCGTGCGTGTGAGAGAGTGTCTGTATGGCAGGCATACTGAACGTAAGTCAGCGATTCCCGTGAAGGAGTCTTGAGGCCAATGAATTCTGTTTTAAAATTCCCTCAGGGGGGATGACTGCGTGGACTGAAGAGGAATGTCGCAGCTTTGAGCACGCACTCGTGCTTTTTGGAAAAGATTTTTATCTTATACAGAAGAATAAGGTAAGTTAGGCAAATTAATACAGAGAAATTACTTAGGACTCGAAATGAACACAAGCAACTGATTTTCAGGTCAGCGGGTGGAGAAACAAGCAGCAGCGGGTCGACACCTCCCTGCGGTTTTGGTTGCGGTCACGGTTCCTGGCCCCGCTCCGGCGTGACAGCGACGCGCGCTCAGACACCACCGCGCACGGCGCGCGGAACGCGGGCCTGCTGGCCGCAGGCGGCCTTCTCTCCTGCCGCTTTCCTTGACGTCCATTTCTTTCTCAGCTGTTCAGGGCTTTGTGGCCTCGGAAATGTTTTCCTTCAGCAGGAAGTGCAGCTGCTGAGGAAACGTTGGTTCTTAAAAGAACAAAGACATTCTAACGACATGCAGCGCGGGGAGCGTGCAGAGCGACAGAAGCCCCGTCGCTGGTGAGGACGGGCGGCGGCGCAGCCACAGCAGGGACGGGGACAGGGACGGGCACGGGGACCGGCGGCGTGAGCCCGCTTGCCTGCTCCGCAGGGCCCAGGGCGCACTGTGCGCACTTGCCCCGAGGAGCTGCAGCCCCGGCACACGCATTCTCTCACATCGGCCTTCGTAGCCATTTTGTTCGTGACTGGCAGGACTTGGAGGCAGTGAAGAGGCCCTTGGAGACGGGCGGGTGACCCGTCCACGTACTAGCATTTCACGCGGCTCCGAAAAGCGAGCAGCCGTCCAGCCCGAGGAGCCGCGGGGGATCCCCACCACGTCCCACTGAGCCAGAGCTCAGCCCCAAGAAGCCGCGCTCCGTGTGACCCATGCCCATGCCGCCGGAGCGGGGCAGAACCGTGGTGGCAGGGCGCAGTCTCTGGTTCCACCTTGAGCAGGGAGGGAGCCATGACTCTGCAGGGCACAGAGGGTCCCAGGGCAGTGAGATCACCAGGCGGGTACACGTCCCCCCTCTGTCCAAATCCATAGGGCGACGCGCTAAGGGTGCCTGAGCAGTCGCGGGCTGTTGGCGGGGAGGCGCGGCTATGCAGCCCAGCAACTGTTGAGGATGGGCCTCTGGCGGGTGCTGGGGGCGGGTTGGTGTGGGGGACTCTGCACCTTCTGCGTAAGTCTGTTGGGAACCTAAAACGGCTCTGGGAGTGTCTTTCACAATACTTCGGGGCGGGCATGTGTGTGCGCTAGTGGTTTGGAATGATTAAGTCTCGCTGAAGTCTGATTTATCATCATCTTCATCCTAAAGGAGCATGAGAGTCTGAAGTGTTTAGGTGGGTAGTTCCATATTTTATGCCTTTTCCTTTTTAATTAAGAGACTATATTTTTTAGAGCCGTTTTTGGTTTAGGGAAAAATTGATCAGAAAGTACACAGAGTTCCCGTAGATGACCCCGCCCAGCTTCCACAGGCTCCAGCGTCCTCTGTGAGTGCCCTGAACGTGCGGCTCGGAGCACTGGGTGGCGGAGCCCGAGGTGCGGCTCCTGTCCAGGCAGGTAGCCCTGTCCCTCCCTTCACAGCGATGCTGCTTTCCCTCTTCCCTCTAAATCCAAAATTATAAAAATTACAACCTTAATGCGATACTTTCATTGCAGTTAATAAACTGATATTGATAGATTTTTATTAGCTGAAGTCCTGAGTTTACAGTAGGGTTCACTCTTTGGGTCGCGCGTTCTGTGGGTGTTTGACTACGGCACTGTCCCGTGTGCACGCCGGGGAGCCCCGTGCTCTGCCTGCTGGCCCCGCCCCCCCCAGCCCGCGGGAACCACGGGCCTCGGTGCCCTTCTCCAGCGGCTTTCCTTTTCCAAACCCCACGTAGCCGGGATCGGATGGCGTGCGGCCTTTTCGGATCGGCCGCTTTCGCTCAGCAACATGCCGTTGGCACTTCTGCATGTCTCCCCGCGGTTTGATAGCTCCTTTCCTTTCTCGTGTTTCTGCTACCTGTGGCTGTGCCAGCTTATTGGTCCATTCGCCTCTTAGAGGACATCTCAGTGACATCCAGGCTCTGACAGTTACAGAGGAAGGTGCCACAGCTGTCTGTGTGGCGTTTGCCCTTGGCCAGAAGCTCGCGCCTGCTCTGGGGGGCGCCCGTGGGTGTGGTGCCGGCTCCCCAGCGAGAAGCTGCCGACCCGCCTGCCCCAGCGGCCGCACCGTGCGCGTCCCACGGGCTCAGCTTGCCAGCGCTGGGCGTTCGGGCTTTGGGTCACACTGTTCCAGTGCGTGTGCAGAGGCGTCTTGTTGGTTTGACTTGTATTTCCTTGATCACATGATGTGGAGTGTCTTCTCGGATGCTCCCCTGAGCTGCCCGCGCGTCCCCTGACCTGTCTGTCAAGGTCTTCAGCCCGTTTTTTAATCAGGCGTGTTTCCCCCCTTACTGTTGAGTTTTATGGTTTCTTTGTGTATTTGGGGTAACAGTGCTGTATCAGATACGTGTTTTGGAAATACCTGGTCTGGCGGAAGTGCCTGCCTGAGGGTGGTTGGTAGGGTAATAACATGGGTGTGATAATTTATAGTGTTGATGTGACCATGTCACCTAAAATGCCACACGGTGTGCATGAGGGTGATATGACTATGTTACAGAGTTACATGCTTACGATTTTGTAATAAAAGATTTTGTCATAAAAAAGAGGCGTTATTTGTGCCAGACCCTGTGTTTTCTACCAGCCTGTGGCCTGTCTTCTCATTCCTTCAGCAGTGTCTTTGCAGAGGAGACGTTTTCGATTCTGAAGTCTGGCTGGAGTGTCGTCCTCACGTTGGGCCTTGAGCGTTTGATCTGAACAGTCGCCGCCGCCCATAGGGCCGTCCGGGGTTTCCCTGCGCTGCCTCCCAAAAGGCTGACCGTTTTGCGTTTTACACTTAGGCCTGTGACTCATCCGTTTTGAATTACTTTTTCTGGAAGACATTAGGTCTGTGTCTAGATTCTGTTTTTTGGGGTTTTTTTCCCTGGCATGTGGCTGTCCAGTTGCCCGGCGCTGTTTGTCGAGAGGCTGTCCTTCCTTCTCTCAGGCATCGGCCGACTGTCAGCGTGGGCCTCACTTCACAGTTGTCAATTCTGTCGGTTAAGTTTTTTATTTTATTTTTTACCGGTAACACAGTCTTGGTCACTGCGGCTTTATTAGTGGGTCTGGAGGTCAGGGGTATCCGTCCTCCGACTTTGTTCTTCTGTGTCGTGTTGGGGGCTGAGGGGGTTGCTTCTCCACATAAACGTTGAAAGTCGTTTGTCAGTATTTAATACATAATTTGCTGGGATTTGTTCAGGAGTGCCCTAAATCTGTAGATCAAGTTTGGAAGAGCTGATATTCTGACAATGATGAGTCTTCCTATCCATAAATGTACTGTTTATTTAGTTCTAGTTTTTTAACCAGAGTTTTGTGGCCTTTCTTACATAGATCTAGCGTGTATTTTGTTAAAATTGTATCTGTGTATTTCATTTCCAGCGGTGCTCATATAAATGGTACTGTGGTTTTAATTTCCAATATCAACGGGTCCTTGTTGGTTTAGAGGAAAGCAGCGGGTTTCTGCATGGTGACCTTGCACTGTGCAGCCTTGCTGTGGCCCTTTATAAGTTCCAGGTGTAGTTTCGTTGATTCTTTGGGATTTTCTATGAGATGAGCGTGTCATCTGTGAACAGAGACAGTTTCCTGTCTTTTTCTCGGCCTGTATGTCTTGTGTTTCCTTTTCCTTTTTTTTTTTTTTTTTTTTGCATTCACTAGACCTTCCAATAGATGCTTTTGTTTGTATGAAAACGTAATGTTTTCTCAAAGATGAAATGGCATGTTTAATAGATAAGAGATTTTAAAAAAGCCTGGGTTGCCCCCAAAAGATCAGTTTTGCAATAACTTATGAAATTTATCTACTTATTTTATAAATAAGCCCTATGTCATTTACTAGACGTAGTTTTAGGCACTTAGAAATACATTTGTGAATAAGACAGGGAAGGTCTCTGTCCCCAAGAAGCCTATGTTCTTTGCAAAGACGTAAGTTAGTGATGTTTATTGAAAACTATATATTTTGTTTGTTTTTGCTTTAAAAAGCTTGTCCCTGTATTATTACCTTATCACATTATGCTCTACCAATTGGGGTAGAGGCACTAAAATGTCCCTACTGGGGACCAGTCAGGCAGCAGAGGTGACTGTCGGATGGCAATGCGGTGTCTTGTCTGGATGCCTGAACCTCTGCCCATGCGTCCCCCCACCCCCATAGCTGCATGTGGCAGAGGGGCCCTGGTCTGGCATGTGGCCAGGACGGTGGGGCTTCCGGGTTCTCACTGCTGTTCTTGTCAAGCGGGGGCGGGGGGGGCGGGGCCAGGAGCCAGCCGAGGGCCTGCTGGAGGGGAAACCGCGCTCCGGGTCCTGATCGCCTCAAATCCCAGGCACGGCAGGACGCCAACCCTGTTTCCAGGGGCCCCAGGTCTCGTATGGGCCAGGGAGCCCTTTGATGGTGCGAGGAAGCCGTGGTCCTTCCTCCCAGAGAGGGGCCTGCGTGTGGCCTCACGAGCGGGCAGGTGCCAGGGGAGCCCGTGACAGGCAGGCCCTCGTGTCAGGATGGGCCCCGGGGAGGTCGGGGCGGGGGCAAGGGCATCGTTGTGCCAGGGCTTCCCGTGAAGGTGCAATATGCTGTCTAGATACACGTTTATTTTGTAAACAAATACATTCTGGTTTAAAAAAACAAATGTTGGACTTTTGGAAGTAGCATCATAAAATGTTCATAACTTCATAATTCTGAAAATGTCCCATGGATTGAAGTTACAGTATTGTAAAAAGAAAAAAAGTTAATAAGAAATAGTATTGGGTCTGTTTATAAAAATTCAACTTTTTCTGTCAGGTGAAAACCAGAACCGTTGCCGAATGCGTGGCGTTCTACTACATGTGGAAGAAATCCGAGCGCTATGACTACTTTGCTCAGCAGACGAGATTTGGAAAGAAACGGTACAACCACCACCCTGGAGTCACGTAAGTTCTGCGGGCCTGACCCCAGGGACTTGGCCTGGACAGCTTGCAGGGGCCTGCGGCCAAAAGTCACTGGGCGTGTTTTCAGGGACTACATGGACCGGTTGGTGGATGAAACGGAAGCCCTGGGCGGGACGGTCAGTTCCCCTGCTCTGCCCCCCAACCGCCCCGAGCCTGTTCCCGACCCGCCGTTGAACCTCCTCAGCTCCTTTGCCGCCGGGGACCTGACAGGTAAGGCTGGCGCGCGGGGTGGCGCAGGCGGGGCCCGCCCTCCTACCGCAGGGCTGCGGCCGGTGCTCAGAGTGCTCTCCTCTCCCCTGCAGCCCTGGCTGGCGGCGTGGCGCCCGGTGGCAGCCCCGCAGACGGCAACTGCCTGGACGACGGCTTCCCTGCCCTGGGCAGCGCGCCGCGCGCGCAGGCGAGCCACGTGCCCGTGGGCGCTGAGGAGCTGCTGGCCCTGCCCAGCAGCGGGGAGGGCGACTGTTTTAACTTATTTGAGACTGGATTTTACCCCTCGGAGCTCAACCCCATGAACCTTTGCGGCGAGGAGTCCGAAAGGCCCGCGAAGAGATTGAAAATGGGCATCGCTGTTCCCGAACCCTTTATGAACGAAGTTTCTGTCAGTAACTTGGGTGTGGACTTTGAAAACCACACGCACCACATCGCCAGCGCCAAGATGGCCGTGTCTGTGGCTGACTTTGGCAGCCTGTCCGCCGGCGAGACCAATGGCTTCATCAGCGCCCGCGCCCTGCACCCGCACGCCGCCCTGCACTCGGAGTGAGCGGCCGGGCCGGGCCGGGCCCGCCGCGCCAGCGGACGCAAGGGCGGGTCAGCTTTGCTTAGTCTTTCACTGGAAGCGCGAACGCCTTCACTACGACATCAGTGATGTCGGCATGTACAAGAGCTATGTCTTGATTTATCAAGAGTATTCACGTTTCTGTCCGTAAATGTGGAAAGGAACGGTGATCCGCAGAGTTGGGGACGAAGACTGAACTTGGGTGCGGCTTCACGCTCCACTTCTCTCCTCCTCGTCACCTGGCACCCCGTCCCCATCCCTTGGCTCTCTGTCCCCTTCTCCTCCCCGAGCGAAAATCTGCAGATGGGCCACCGGCCTGAGACCAGCACAGGTGTCTGAACTGGACGGAGTGGCTTCCCTTTGTGTGAACTCCCTTTGCCCTAACGGATGCAGTGGAATCACAATGTTTACAGGGACCGGTCCTGAGCCCTGCTAAATGTAGCATTTTTTGGTTTTCTTAATTAAATAAAAGCAGGGGTAGGTTTCTTTAAACTGCACAAACATGCAAGGATTTTTTTAAATGGAAACTTCTCTCATGTTATTCAACTAGAGCACTTGGGTTTACAGAGCAGCGAGGGCCGCGTGCGGTGAGGACGACGCGCAGACCCCGCCTCGGCACCCCCGTCTGGGCTGCCTTCCACAGAGCCGCACACTTGCTGTCGGGAGGCTCGGCGTGACTTCATCTATGGGCTGCAGACCCCTGTCGAGATGGTAGTTGTAAAAATTGCACCGGCCGTTGATGGGTCAGCTCCTGCCGGCTGCCGGGCACAGCCGCAGCCTGGGGTGGGCATTGCCGCGCGTGGGGTTTACATTTTGAGGTGCTGGTAGCGCTGCAGTTCAAAGTGTTACTGTTTAGGTGGGGCTTCTAGATTTTACACGTGATGCAGGAGCGCCTTGAAGTCCATTTAAACGCTTGTGTTTAGCTGGAACAGTTGGCAAGAAAAATGTGAGTTACTATCTGAAGTAGATGTGTCTCAAACTCTGTGAGTGAGAAGCCAGTCAGAACCCTTGGCGTGTTCACCCTGTAGACAAGCACCGTGGAGTGACAAGGTGGCATCAAACCATAGGTAATACAGTGTTAGGACTCAATAAGCTTTGCTTTTATATTTCAGTTAAAACAGGATTTTCTTTTTTTAAAATTTGCACCACTTTAAAATTTTCAGTTTCTGCTAGTTGTTTTGCAGAAAGCTTAAGCGCCTGGCTGCATGGCTGGCCTGTGCCAGTGGCTGTCCCTTCAGCTGTGCCAGTGAGCAGGGCAACGGGAGGGGGCAGAGGGAGGGTATTTATTACACAGACTGTGAACTGCAGCGCCGTCCCCCGCCGGGACGGTGTGTGTGCTTGTTGTTCTTTGCAGCATTGTGATGAAGATTGCTTTCGAGTGTTTACACAGTATAGCACATGTACCACAAAATGTAGTTGAGCGCAGTGGACAGAAGTGGGTGAATTAGTAACCTCAAGTGGGTCTGACTTGTACCCCTGGAGTCAAGCGTTCCCGTGGGTGCCCAGGTGGGGCGCCGCCCTCAGAGGGTTCCGTCCATGTGCTCAGCCTCTCAGTGCAGTGACGTGTCCTCCATGCCGGGCCTGGCTTCTTTTGATAAAAATCAGTACGTCTATAATTCAGTGAGATTCTAGCCGTAACCTTCCATCGTTGCCCCTCTAACATCCACGCTGGGTCCGCAGCGGCTGCGCTGTGTGAGTGACTCCACGGGGCACCTGCGTGCTGTTCCAGGGAGCTGCGGCGCCTTCCTCGCTGTCCCTGTGCATCGCAGGGGTCTCGGTACAAGGTGGGACCGCTTCTCATCTAAAGGTTTGATTGTCAGCAAGCTGAATGGACACTTTAGGTATTTGAATAAACATTTTTGACCAAATCCAGAAAATGATATGAGAGAAAAATAAATTCCAGCTACTTTCATAGGTGTTTAAATGCCAATCTGGCTCAGCCTCTTAGAGAGTGCTGGCTGGCTGGTGACGTTTACTTTTAATTCCTTGTTAAAATGAGGCAATAATTTGCAAGATTTTTGTATATATGTGTAAATTCTTCATATCTTTTTAGATCTAATTCACTATTTTCTGACTGCTTTCGCCATGTATAATACCATTTTTGTGCATGCTCGATGTGACATACATAAACTACCACTATGACTTTATCCATGTAAAATAGCTATTTATTGAATTTTCTTTTACAAGTTGGATTTACTGTCTTTCCACCTTTCCATTTAAGCATCTTAGCACGGAATTTGTTACTGTTTATTAGAAGAATTGCGTTTCAGAGCGTGAGAATAACTGGTTTGCAGTCGTGTGAAGAAGTAATAATGCCTTTATCATCAAGTGTTAAGCACAATTCTTATAACAAACTGTGATAAATTCTTTTTTTGTTGTTTTTTGTTGGGTTTTTTTTTCCTGCATTATTTTCACATGAACAAACCAAAAATCCACGGTGAGCAGCTGCGGGGCCAGCCGCCGTCCACGGCGCACAGCCTCGGGGGAGGCCCGCGGGGCGGGGGAGGCCGCAGCAGCACCCTGCTCCACGGGCAGCCGCTCCCACGTGGCCCTCCGTGGCCGGCTTCCTCTTGTCACGGTCAGCTGCCGGGTTTACTTGAAGGACGTTCGACACTCTTTCAGCAGCACCGAAGTGTGTACAATTAGGTCAAAGCATTGTGCAATTATTTCCTTTTAATTTGTAAAATTGAGGGGCGTAAATATTCGAGAACGTCAGCTCTGACAGAGCATGGTGATTCTGCTTAGTTTAACCAAAGTCTCTAGTGAATCTTTCAACTTTGAATGTAAACTAATGAAGAAACCTGACCACCGAGGAGATTGTTTGCCCAGAGTTTCAAAGCACATTGTCTACAAGTGGAAATTGAAATAATTTATAAGAATATTGACGTGACTATGTTTTTTAAAAAGTTCTTAATTTTTTCACTAAAAGGAGGAAACTATTAGTTTTATTGTTAAATACGGTAGATACTAAAATTCCTCTTAGGAAAAAAGCAGTGACTCGACAGTCCCAGTTTGAAATCAGCACCTGTGAGTATGAGATTGATTAGTGACAATCAGAACAAGTTTTAGTATCAGATGTTCAAGAGGAAGTTGCTATTGTTGCATTGGTTTTAATATTTGTACATAAACACTGATTTTTTTCAGCATTATTTTGTATTTGTTGTACTTTAATACCTGTACAGCTCCAGAAATAAAAACCTGGAAATCTTTTTTTCTTCTTGGTTCGTGTGACTGTTTGCCGCAGATTTTTATTTGGTGACTCTTCAGCTATAACATGTGGGTAGATATTCGCTGCTAAACTGGTTTAGATGTAGCATAAAGCTATTTGATAGGTAAGTAATAAAGTTGGTAGATAAAATTAAGTTTCCTTTCAATTTATTACAAATTTCCATTTATGATAAAGCTGTAGGCATCCCAAAATGAGGATCACACTTTCTCTTTAATTCAGGAAATACTTAAATATCCCAGGTTTCAAACACTGTTCTAGGTAACTCTTTTAGGGAAACATGACATCTGAAATTTGATCACATTATTTGACAATATATTTATTGTAAACTAATCTTCTTTATACTATTCACAGTTCAGTAGACTCTGGAAATATCTTCCCTAAGTTTTTCAGCTCTTCAAACTAAAGAGCTTTCAGTCCAGTTTCACAAGCTTGTCTCCGTATTTCACTTGCTCGGAGCAGAGCTTCTCTGTCCTTCATTCTTAATACAATCTCAGGAGACTGATGTGACGTTTAGGTTTTCTGTGTCAGGACAGAGCAGGGCAGGAGGAATACGAGACCTCGACGACTCTGCTGTGGTTCCTTGTCCAAAGCCCCGTTGCCACTTTGGCAGACGCCCAGGAGCCCCACTGTGTGTGCCGGGCTCCCGAAGTGCCTCCAAGGCAGCCAGCGAGAATGACACACACACACAGCTCAGGCTCCGGGGGAGGGAACAGAGTGCTCTGGTGGCTCCCCAGCCTCACCCACCGGGCCTGCGGCTCCCACCGCTCCAAGGCCTCATGGCCTCTGTAAGTGGGACATTTTCATTGTACACACTTTTTTCATTTTAAAGATTTTATTCATTTTTAGAGAGGGGAAGGGAGGAAAAAAGCTACAGAAACACCCGTGTGTGGGTGCCTCTCATGCATCCCCCACTGGGGACCTGGCCTGCAACCCAGGCCTGTGCTCTACATGGGAATCGAACCGGCGACCCTTTGGTTCGCAGGCTGGTGCTCAGCCAGGACCATTATACACACTTTCTATTAAACTGCTGGCCCTCCTCACCGGCCTCCGACTGTCGGGTCCTCTGGACACTGAGGTCACGGACCACACAGAAGCGCTTACGACCTGGGCTGAACACGCCGGCGAGCGCTGGAGACGCTGCACGGCTGCGCCCCTGGATCCAGGCGTGAAATTGGCCATTCACAAGAAGCAAAAATTATACTAGTAAGAAAAACGTGTGGTTCTACTTCCTAAAAATATTTCAATCCTCACCTGAGGGTATGCTTATTGATTTGAGAGAGGAAGGCGGAGAAAGAATGATTGGTTGCCTCCGAAACGCACCCCAACGAGAGACCGAACCTGCAACTTCCTGGTGTACAGGACGATGCCCCAACCAATGGAGCCCCCGGCCAGGGCAGATGTTTAATTTTTTAAAAATGCCTTTAACTCCGTGTTTCCGTGCAGAGCCGTGGTCCTGCACAAGGTCTTTATGCCCCACGAGCGTTTCATGAGCAGGAGCTGCATTTTACTCTGAGTCTCCAGGGCCCTTCACGCAGTGAGGTGGCCTTCAGCCAGGATTCGATGACATGCTGCTACTCTGAAGCTCACGGTGACTTTCCCCGACTTAAAAAAACAAACAAACATAACTTTTAAAAGTTAAAAGACCAGCCCTGGCTGGCGTGGCTCAGCGGACTGAGCGCCGCCTGGGAACCAGGGGGTCGCCGGTTCGACCCCCAGTCGGGGCACAGGCCTGGGCTGTGGGCCGGGTCCCCAGCAGGGGGCGCGCGAGAGGCTACCGCACCCGGATGTTTCCTCTTTCTCCTTCCCCTCTAAAAATACATCAATTTTTTTTTTTAAAGTAAAAACAGTATAAAGAACCCAGATAGAAAATTGACATTAACCATATGCATTCTTCCCTTAACTATTCCGAAAGTCGGTGACATTGTTACACTTCTTTCCCACACGCCCCGGCCCACCTACCTGACGTGTCCACTGGCGCCAGTTTCCGGGCCCACACACACCTGGGCACCAGGCTCACCTTCACAAATGGACGGGCTTTCTCGCGAGGCGGGGCCTCCTTGGTGTCCCACGGTCGCAGTGACACACGAGTCTGAGAATACTGGGGACCCTCATGGCTGTTTGTGTCTATATGTGACGAACGCCACCGCGAAAGAGATGGACGTGGTATGGGGACGCTCCGGGTGGGTGGCAGCTGGGAACCGTGGTTCAACAGAGTCTTAGCTGAGGCGAGGGTGGGACTGAGCAGCGTGGCGGCCGCGAAAACCAGCCGGCGAGAGGGCTGGGCACGTGTCCCGGGGCGGGCGTGGCCAGGCGGGCGCGCAGAGCGTGCGCGCACGCGAACCTGCGCGCATGCGCGCGGAGGATGCAGCGCTCACCCAGGGCAGGAGGAGCGACCAGACGTCGAGCAGAGGCCGGGCAGGAGCGGCCTGACTCCTGCAGGCATCGCCCCTGGTGCGCCCCAGCCGTATGGCTCCGGGGACGGAGCGCGGCCTGCGAACTGCCGGTTGAGTCCCAGTGCCGGCCAGACCCCCAGCAGGGGGCGCGCGAGAGGCAACCACGCACGATGTTTCGCTCCCTTTCTCCCGTCCCTTCTCTAAAATTAAATAAAATCTAAAAAAAGGGAAGAAAAAAAGACTCACACCAGGTCTGTTCTGAGAAGGGGGCAGGAGGTTATCAAAAGTGCAGTTAATGGAGAGAAGCTGCGGGGGTAGCACGAAGGGGGTTGGCGCCTGGCCGCGCAGGTCCCGAGGCGGGACGAGCGGGGCCTCGCCCGAGTCTGGAACGGGAGCTGAGCGCCGGCTGAGCCCGGTCGCGGAGACCAAAGACTCTCCGGAAAAGGTGGCCTCAGGGCCACCGACGGGCCGACAGCAGCTGCCCCAGGACACGCCGAGTCCACGGGCAGGGCCCGGGGCGTTTGCGGGCCCGTCCTGCCGAGGTCACGCCAACCCGCCGCCGTGGGCGCAGAGGGAGTCGCGGGCGTCGCCGACGGCCCGGCACCGCGGGCTTTGCACGCGCTCCCAGCCAACGGCGGCTCCCGCGCTGTCTCCAGTCCGGTGTGCGCGCACCGACGGCCAAACAGCGCTGAGCAGCCAGTCCGCTGACGCCCGGCCCGGTCCCTCCCTCAGCGGAAACCGCCTTTAAATGACATACACGTGGGCGAACGCCAGTTAATCACAGGGATGCAGACTGATGTGTTTAGCTCCAGTTTATTTTGCAAAAGGGAAGTTTCCACACAAGTCCACACACAGCAGCAGTAAAAGTTGCTGGCGACCGGGCTGAAACTTTGTAAGGCACCACGAGACACGCTGAAGCAGCGGGAGGGAGACTGGCACTGTCCGTCCGGGCAGCGGGCTTTCATGCCACACGCTGCCGCGTACTTGGGAGAAAATGAAAACTGGCAATCGCTGGAATCTGAAATTGTGATGCAGCAAATGGCTTTTATCGTAGACTTGAAACATAAATACCAATAAAAATTAAAAGTCCCCACTCCGATTAGATCTCAAAACATGTGTTCCACAGCGGCGCTTGAGCGTGGCTCATAAAGCGCCGAGTCTGCGGCCGAGCAGGAAGCGCGGCTCCTCCCGCCGAGAGTCAGCGGACGACCGTGTAGTAGTTGGAGAAAAGCTCCTCGCCCCGCCCGATGTCCCGCAGCGCGACGAGGACCACGCACCGGAGGGGCCTGTGGGCAGGAGAACGCGCGCGTCACCGCGGGGAACGCCAGCCACCGCGGCCTCGCAAGCACCACCTTCTTCCGGGCCGCCCGGTCGCCTCCCTCGGCTCTGCGCCCCCCGGACACCGCCCTCGCCCAGGGCAGCGCGTGCTGGTGGGCGTGTCTATTTCAAGTCTCGTGAAAAGCGCGCACATCAGCCAGTTCCTACAACTGACCGCTTTCTCCGAATGGGTTGTGTTCGGGTCCTCAAAACTGGCATCGCAGGAAGCATTTTAAAATGGTATCCATGAGAGTTAAACATTTTAAAATTAATTTCTATCTTTGTATTCTGCAAAGCTGGAAACATTACTTAAATGAATTAAAAATACTTTTTGTGGACTCAACAAGACGTGTCGTCCTCCACGTTCCTACTCATTTAGCGTTTCCTGCGCTTGCTGAATAGTGATGACGTTCTGCCCCGGAGTCTACGGCTAAAACACCGAATTGCTAAACACACACACACACACACACACACACACACACACGGAGAGAAAAGCTATCAAGCTTTAAGTACAGGGAATAGTCGAAGTTTTAAATACCTGCATTTGTACAGGACAATTTAATAGGACCCATACAAAATAAAGCTTGTTAACAAATGACAACTCAGTGAGACGATATAAAGATATCTTCTCACAGTATTGTTGATAAAGAGCTCTACAGAATCACTTATTAAAACTTGTTACTTGAGTATTCGCAGTATACTTTACATTAAAAAATTGTTACAACAAAAAGTTATCTCCTGAATATTTCTCTTTTTACTGTTCTTAGTTTTATAAGTTAAGTATATTTGGTATACCGCCCCCCCCGCCACGTTTCCAAATCTAACAGTGAAACGGGCAGAAGCAGCAATGAGCACTTAGCCGCCCTCTCGCCAGGCGGGGTGTGACCCTGAAAATGACTGGGGGGGATGTTTCTGAAGAATTTGCAGGTAGGAAAGATGAACCTAAAAATCTAAGTTACAATTTTTCACTAAAATAAAACTTACCCCCAATATATATAGCTTTTTCTAGAAATAAAATATTTTTTAAAGCATGCCCTGAGACAGAAGCGAGGCCAGGCTCTCGGAGAAGACAGACCTTTGTTCGCCGCAGCCGTAGGCGACATTCGGGAGGTACTGCTTCAGCTCCGCCGGGAAGGCCGCAGGCACGTCCAGCTCCTGGTAACAGACGTTGGCCGGCCTGTCTGGGGACAGGTGCGCCCAGTGAAGAAACAGAGGGTTTGACAAGCGCCTGGAAACAGCGCCGCATCATGCCGCTTGATGTGCGGGCTTCTAAACGGTCGGAACACACCCTCAGTGCCAGTCACAGCTGTGTTCCAGGCGCTGCTAGGCCTTACACATACATTTTTTGTAATATATATATATGCTTTTTAAAAAAGGTTTATTATTTTTAGAGAGAGGGGAAGGAGGGAGAAAGAGAGGGAGAGAAACGTCCATGTGTGGTTACCTCTCATGCGCCCCCTACTGGGGACCTGGCCCGCAACTCAGGCCTGTGCCCTGACTGGGAGTCAAACCAGCGACCCTTTGGTCCACAGGCTGGCGCTCAGTACACTGAGCCACACCAGCAAGGGCTATGTGCGCTTTTTAATTTACTTTCTGAAGATCAGGAAACAGGCCTGTGCGGTCAAAGGATAAGTAGAAGAGTCGGGCTCTCAAGTTCACGTCTCCCAGACACCAAAGCCTGTGCTAAATGCAGCCAGATGATCAGACACGCACTCCAGGAAAGCCAGCCCCGGAGAAGGAAGTGGCCCGCTAACTTGGCACCAGAAGGGGAAGCCCATCCACTGGTCCCCCAGCGAGGCCATCCCGAGGTGCACACACAGCAGTCCCTAGGTCACCTATGATAACACGGTGATAGTGACAGCCAAAAGGACAGCTACCAACTGCCTATACTGACTGCGAAACTAAAACAAAAATAGTGAATTAAAGAACCCCAAGCAAATGTGCATCAGTTACCCCCGATTCTGCCCCAAAGAGTCACTGTTGCCAACCACTGAGGTGTCCACCTCCCCGTTCTGGGTACGGGGCGCCCAGAACAGACAAACGCGCAGGGGCAGGGAGCAGGCTAGCAGCTGCCCGAGCCTGTGTGCTTCAGGAAGAAATGGGAGTTGACTTCTAGGATATAAAATTGATTGTGAGGATGGCTGTACAACTCTGTGAGTTAAACAATGTAAATGGGTGAATTGTGTGGTAGGTGAATTAGATCCATAAAGCTGTAAAAAAAGAAGTTAGGATCAAGGAAATATATTTTTTAATAGGAGATAGAGATAAGAGAGTGAATAGAACAAAAATAAATAAGCCATCAAAGCTAAGAGCCCAAAGGGCCCGGGCACACAGCAGAGGAACGCTGCGGGCCGCCCCGCCCCCGGCGGCCTCCCCGCCCCACGGGGCAGCTCACCATTGGAGCAGTTGTTGACATACTGCCCCACAGCCAGAGGGTTCTGAGTGTCCGACGTGAGCCACGTGCTGTCGCTCATTTTTAAAGGGCCAAGTCGGTCCCTTCCAGTGCAGGATCTGAAACAGGTCAAAGCATGAGACAAGGGGTTGTCCTTCTGAACCTTAAAATTCAACAACACAAAATCAAGCCTACAATGTGCAACTTCTCTTTAAGAAACTTCAGTCTGATCAACCAAGAAGCCAAGGCCAGTGGTCACGGTCACTGTGGCGTGGTTTTGTCTCCTATAATTAACTTTGACATGGGCACCAACTTACCTGTACACGACTTTGGATATTCCTTTGTCATTTCCATCAATGAGTATGCCATCCAAGCATCTAAAAATAAATGGATTTCCAATAGACTGGAAAAAGATTGGCTCATATTTCTGATATACTGTACCTATTATGCAACAAGATAAAGACATAACAGCAACATGTAAAAATCACATACATTATAAGGACCTTCTCTGGAACATAAATGTCACATGTAAGAATTTAACTTCTCAACTCTTTTTCTAATACCTTACCTCCAATCTAGACCGTCACATTCTCTTTGGCTATTTTCTCCCTTTAAACAGTGCCCAATAGCAGGCAGAGCACAGAACCAATATGTCCACATAGCCAAAAAAATGCCTTGGTTCATAAAAATGCGAACACATTTCAGGCTCAGGTCTACAAAAGTGTGTGTGTGTGAAGTGTGATTTGACATCTATCAAATAGTCATTTAAGAAATGTATTCTGCTAATGACCAGTTAAATAGGTAGACAAACGCGGGTAGAGACGAGTGGGAAAAGGCGAGTCCGCACTCCGCTGTCTCCCCTCTCACGGGCCAAGGGACCGGGAGGCCCGTGCGTGCTGTGCGCCTCTTAGATTCCAGGCGTTAATCCACTACATTTATTTTTATGTTAACTTGTTACTGGCTTGTTCTGTTTAGTCTTTACAGAGGTAATTGTATAGAAAGAAATTGAGTGTCCCTTGATTACGAATAAAAATTTAAAAAACTTGGAAGAACTTTTTGGAAATGTAGTTCTATTTGACTTAAATATTCACACGTATTTCCCATTACAGCGAATAATATGTTAGTTTATCACATGACGTATTTGACTGAGCATTCTAGTTAATGAGTTTTTGCAAAGAAGCTGCTTTACTTTCCAAGTGTAGAAATGGCAGGAATGCCTTTATTCGGTGACTTTCGGGATTAAATTCTACCTTTCATGTTTTAACCCATACCATTTTTAGCTTTAGTGATCAATTAGCTAAACCAAACCAACTAATTCTCTAGTGCCTTCTAAGTAATAAGTGTGATCAGAACAGGCCATACCTTATTTTCCTAAATTTAAACATTCACTAGAAACATTTCCTAATGCATTTAAAAGAAAAGTGCATTTATCCCAACAAATACTTACAGATACTTTCTAATACATAAGATAATCTACAGTTTATTTCCAAATCAGGATTTAAAAATCTGTGGAAATATGAGCTTCCAATTCAACTCCTTATTCTAAGGATTACAAGACTAGGTGTTTTGTCTTGTTTTTCCTTTTTTTTTTTTCCAAACTTCTATTTATTGGTATATTAAGAAACTCTTGGCAAAGTACTAATTGTGCCATTACCAGGATACATGGACACAACCGCGCCTTTTGGTACCGATCCTTTAGTAACAAAGACACCTCTCCCAGCAGAGACCAACGAGCTAGTCGCTCGGGCAACACTGAAGCCCAGTGTCTTATAAAGAATTTCTTCTGGTTTAAAGATGACTTTCTGGTGATTTCTGCATTCAGGCAGGTTCGCCCTTGCATGTTGAACTGACAGTAGGTCTTGGTATTTCGACTGAACAGGTTCTGGAAGCACAGCCAAGATATCTGATTGTTTATTGAAATCATTCATGAACAGAGCCTGGAAAACTTTCAGTAACGTTTCTAGGACATCTTCATCTGAGATAACCTTGTCTTTAAATTCCTCTGGAACATATCGGAGGGTCCTGAAAATGGGAAAGATTTCTACTCACTATCCTTCAATTGATAAAAGCCAGCCAGCCTGTCTTGGTGCCTTCTGGGTTACTGGCCTTCATGAAGGTTATTCTCATGCGCGTTTGAAGGGCAGAAAACTAAGAATTTCAGAGAAGAGTTGTACTGGGGGTAGACCTATATTATTGGGGGGGGGGGGGGGGTGTAACTTCCAACAATACCAAGGTTAAAACAGCCAAAATTTATGAAAAGGCCCAGCCTGTACCAAATGTTGGGTCCTTACATACCTTATCTCATTTTTCCAGGCAAGAAACCGAGGCTGGAAGATGTTAGGCACTTGCCCCAGGTCCTAACGGTGGTTAAGTAGGGGGCGGAGGGGGGCCAAGGCAGCGCCCACAGCCACCTGAGTGTTGCAATGAGACCCCGCACATGCAATGGGTCTCTCTGGCGTGCAGTTTCAAACACAAATATAAGGGAACATTATACACGTTGTCACATTCTCTTCCAGGAGTACTTTCTTAATGACTGCATCGCTGTCATGTCCATAATAGTAGTATTTTCACTTCTGGACAACAGGAGAGTCACTGACCGCTTTGGTGGGCATCACGTGGCCTTGCTCACCACACGCTCGCCCCTGGCTGGAGCCGGCGTCGCCCGGTCCGAGGCCGCCCGCTTTCCAGGCGCTGACTCCGTCCTCTAAACCAAGCACTCCCACCGCTGTTACGGTCTCTCCGCTCATTTTAAGGCGCCAGCCACTCGGAGCGGTTACCTTCCCGGCCGGGCAGGGTTGCTTTCACCGTATAGACTAAACCCAGTTCGGCTTCTCTAAGGAATTCGGAGCTCCTACCTCCGCGTCGGCGGAGAGGTAGGCTGCGCACCCCAACCCCCGCTGTACACCTTTCCCCTTTTTTTAAACGCCGCTCCGCTTCGCCCAGACGCTGGCACTGCAGCCAGCGGGAACTGTGAAGCGCACCGCGCGCGCGCCGCCCGCCGGCGACCGCGGCGGGGCGGTCCTGCCAGCAGGGACTACGACCGGAAATAGGCCTCAGGCCCCGCCCACCTCAAGCTCCGCGCCCCCGTCGGGCCCCCGTCCCTCCTCCGACTGCTGCAGCCTCAGCCGCGGCCCCGCCCACCGTGGCCCCTCTCACCGCAAGCTCCACCCACCACAAGCTGGCGTTGTCAGGCTCCTCGGCCGCCGGAAGCCCCGCCCACCGAAGGCTCGACCCGCTCGAGGCCCCGGCCACCTCAGGCCCCGCCCCCGACTCCACCCACCACGACCTGGCGGCGTCAAGCCGCTCGGCCGCCGGAAGCTCTGCCCGCCCGAGGCTCTGACCCCACCTCGGGCTCGTCTGTGTCCGGCCCCGCGGCCGCGGTGGCGTCTCCCGGCCGAGGGAAGACGCCGGGAGCGGCCGCCTCGACCCTCACCTGGGGTTGCGGCTTAGGTTCAGCGCGATCCAAGGTACGAAGCGGTACTTGTAACGACGCCACCACTGCTCCAGGCCCCGCAGCAGGCGGCCCGGCATGGCGGCCCCGCCGCGCCCGCACAAGGGCCCGCCCCAGGGGGGAGGGGCGGTGGCGTGGCCCGCCTTCGGCTCCGCTCTCCGCCCGCGCGGGGCCTCAGTGCCCCGGTGCCCGGCGCTCTGGCCGCGGCCCCGCCCACCAGGGGCGCGGAGCGGAAGGAGCCTGAGCCCCGTTCCCGCTCCGTTTGCTCGTGTGGCCTCCGCCCCGCCCTCAGCCCCCTGGGAACCGCGGGCCCGCCCGTCCCCGGCTACGGAGTCGGGACGCGCGGCTAAGTCCAAGGAGCCCGGTCACACCCGGTGCCCCGCAGGCAGGGCACGTAGCCGTGGCGCGTGTATTCCGTTCCAAACAGGGAGGAAGGAAAACACGTCGCGGAAGCCTTCGCTTCATTGTGACGCCGCGGAGCGTGCTGGCGCCTGGGGACCTGCGGGGACTGGCCGCTCGTGTACCGGGCTTGCCGGATGGGGCCTGTCTTCAGTGCCCACGAAAGAGGGGACTTTATGGTCTCCGCACCCGAGAGGAACCAAGAGGCACGGGCTGGAGCCTTACCATAGTTTTACATACTAATCTTAAAGATAAAAAAGCGGTTTTTGTATAAACGATCAGTGCTCTTTTATTTTTTAAATCATGTAGTGTAATCCGGGAAAACGGACTATTTGCCTAGACCGTATTTCTTTATTTACTGAGCTATAATTGACATGTAACACTATGTTTGTTTCAGATATAAAACATCACATTCAACATGACTGAGCGAGTGGAACAGCGAGTCTGCATCAAATTTTGCGTTAAGCTTGAACATTCCTCCGCAGAAACTATTCGGATCATTCAGAAGGTTTTCGGGGAGGATGCAATGAGTGCAGCACAAATAAAAGTGTGGCACAAACGCTTCAAGGATGGTCGAGAGTCTGTAGAAAGCGATCCACGTTCTGGAAGGCCTGCGACAAGCAGGACCCCTGAGAATGTCGAACGTGTCCGGGCTGCGATCAGCAAAGGTCGGCGACTGACAGTGCGAGAACTAGAGGCTGATCTGGGGATTCCAAAAACTACCGTGTCCCAGATTTTGACGCAGGATCTTGGCCTGAAACGTGTGGTGGCAAAATTCGTTCCGCGGCTTCTGCTGCCAGAGCAGAAGGGACATCGTGCTGCAGTTGCTGATGACTTGATTCAAACCACTCCCAATGAACCAGATTTCCTCAAGACCGTCATAACCGGAGACGAATCGCCGGTCTGCGGCTGTGATCCGGAAATGGAGGCCCAGCCGTCCCAATGGAAGCCCTTGCCTGGTTCTTCACGCCGGAAGAAGGCGCGGCAAAGTCGCAAGATCAAGACCATGTTAACTGTTTTTTGATTGGGACGGTGTTGTCCATCATGAGTGCGCCCCTCCAGGCCAAACAATTAATAAGGAGCACTACCTCAATGTTCTTCATCGGCTGAGATATGCAATACGATGAACACGGCCGCAGCTGTGGGCCGCTGGTGATTGGCAGCTTCGTTACCACCATGCGCCTGCTCTCGCACAGCATCTTGTGCAGAGGTTTTTGGCGAAACATCAAATCCCCAGGTGACTCAGCCCCCCTGCAGCCCAGATGTGGCGCCCTGCGATTTCTGGATTTCCCCAAAACTAAAATCACCCATGAAAGGGAAGGGTTTCAGACTGTTGATGAGACTCGGGGAAGTACGAGGGGGCAGCCGATGGCGACTGGGAGAGCCGTGTGAGGTCCCAAGGTGCCTACCTTGAAGGGGACGGAGGCGTATTGTCCTATGTACAGTGTTTCTTGTGTCTTGTATTTTGTATCGTCAATAAACGTAAGTCTAGTTAACGTCTGTCATCACACCAGCTACACATTTTCTTTTCTTGAGTGGTAAAGATTTACTCTCCTTAGCAACTTTAAAATGCGCAGTCCGGTGTAGTTGACTCACGGGCGTGGGGGGCTGCGGGCGGGTCCTGCTGGCCCGGATGCGGGGGACTTGCAGCAGTGGGAGCCACGTGGCTACAGCACCGGGGTGTCTGGGTGCAGCCTGCGCTGAGGGTCGCAGAGCCTTTTGGGGAGGGCAGGTGGCAGCCGCCGCGTGGCAGGGTCAGCACGGAGCTGGCGCAAGCCCAGGTCACGGAGGGTAGCTCAGGCCGCCCTGGTGGCCGCGCAGACAGGAGGGGTGGGTCAGGTCCATCTTGGAGGAACTTGCTGAGAGGCTGGGAGTGACGGGTGACGGTTTGCGGTGCCTGTGAGAAACGTCAGCTCGTTGGAGGGCTTGTGGGGCTCTTTGGGGTGAAGCTGTCCCTGGAGGTGAAGCCAACCGGGGTTGGGCGCAGGGCTGATGTCCTGGGAAGGAAAGGGAGGAGCGCAGAGCAGCGCTAGGGCAGCGGCCCAGGTTTGTAGCGCGTGGCCGGCGAGGACTCGGCGAACGCAGCTTCAGGGAGAGCTCTCGAGTGAGGAGGAAATGCGGGGTCTTTCCCCAGGTGTGACCGAAGGGAGAGCAGGCTGGGGAGGTGAAAGGTGCCCTTGCGTGTCCGCGTCGGTGCTGCTGACCGCGGTCCCAGGGAGGGAGGGGGAGTGTGGGGGCCGTGGGTAAGGTCCAGAACGAAGCCCTGGGGCGCTGGGCACTGCTCAGAGTGCAGGTGGAAGCCGGCCCTCTGGTGGGCCCCACGCATTCCAGCTGCGGCCGGGCAGGCGCGAGGGTCCGGCCCCAGAAAAACGGGGGCCGAATTCCACGGCCTCTGGGTTTGAAACAGGTGGGATAAAATGGTCCCCAACGTTGCCCCATCGAATTAAGCGAGCCAAGCCCTGCTGGAACTACAGCAGAATCAATAGGCAGCCATAAGTGGTCCGCCAGCTGCCCTGGCTCCTTTTAGGTTTGTCCTTCAGCTCTGAAGCCAGGCCACCGACCACAGAGGCAAACTCAGCACCTGGTTGGGGAGTCCCTTTCTGCGTCCCCTAAAAAGTACTGCACACTCCCTGGCTGCTTTGCTTTGGCGGCTCGCACCGGGACCTCGGTGCTGCCGAGCAGGAGAGGCCTGCTGCTCTGCTGCCGCTGGCTGAGCCCAGCGGCTCCTGTGTCCTGCGCCGTAAAGGCCCAGCGCCCACGTGGGGGCACAGACTCTGGGGCCCCATCTCGGTGTTGTGGGGGGCCTCGGTACATCCGCCTTCGCTTTCATCGTTGTCCCTTGTCCACATTATATCAGGAACCTGGAACCCAAGCTCGCTGCAACAGTTTCCCAGTGACCTGAGACATGTCTCCAGCTGAGCAGAGTTTGGGAGGAATAGTGGGGGTTGGGGAAGGCAAGAGTAAACAGCCCCAGATGCACCCTGGCCAGGTTGCTCAGTAGCTTGGAGCGTGCTCCACACACCCAAAGAGTTGCGGGTTCAACCTCTGGTCGGGGCGCGGGTGGGAGGCAACCAATCGATGTTTCTCTCTGTCTCTTCCTCTCTCTAAATAAACATTTCTGTAAAAAATAAGTAAAACAGCCCAGAATGGCCCAGCCACGTTGTAGGGAAAGCAGGAGGGATTGCTAAAGAACCCCCCAGTCCTCCTCCGCCACCTACAGAAAGAAATGGGAAGAGGGAGTGGGTGCGGAGGAACTGGCTGATGTCCGGAGTCGGAACCCTGGCATGACGCGTGCGCTGCACGTTCCTTGTGGGGCGAGTTGGTCAGTAACTTAGAGCTCTGGCTTTGTCAAGACGTTTTTCAGCCTCTGCGCTGGAGGACAGGCTTACTTGGCAAGGGTCAGTGACAGACTTGCAGCCCCTCCTCCTTGAACAGCCGCGTCGTCTACTGTGGGCAAGGTCACGGACACACACTCATTCGCTGATAACCCTGCACCGCTTCCAAAGGTTACAGTCGAGGTGAAAAACCATCGTGTAGGCATGTTAACTAGCAGTCACCCCAGAGGCTCAGCGGGAGAGTGTGGCAGCCCTGCCCGGGGACGGGGCGGGGGGCGGGGCGGAGAGCAGGTGGCGGGCGGGGCGGGGCCGGGGGCCTGCCGCAGCCCGGATGCTGGCTGTCTGCAGGTGCTCCCGTTCGCTTACAGGGGTCCAGGGGTAACATGGCCCGCGATGGAACAGACTGAACACACAAGCAGAGATGGAATCCAGCTGTCTTGTAGTGAGCTGGAAAAAAACTCGATTTGCAAAAATATAAAAAATGTCATTTTTCTCACTGTTGGGAAGATTTAGCTACTTTTTATAAAGATATCGACATGTAAAATATTTTTTAAATTGTGATTTTAATACATTAATAAGGAAAGAGGTAAAACCTGTGTGTTTTAAGGTGATACAGTAAATGTTGGTAGACATGTCCCATAGCAACGAAAGGCCATTGGGAGTCTCAGACTTTTAAAAGTGTAACGGGTCGGAAGGCAAAGCTGCCTGAAACCGAATGTGAGAGCAGAGGACGTGGCAAAGCGTTTCATCAGGCAGCAGGCGAGTGCCAGTTCTGTGAATTGCAGCGTGTTGCCTCTTGATGACATTAGACACAAAGTATTTTCAAGTTATTTTGTGCTGCAGGACCTAAAATGTTGCATAAAAAGAGGAAACAATGGTTTCTGCTAGTCTCCCTCTGCACTGGCCAAGGCCACTCTTTCTCCAGCCATGTGACTATCACCTCGTGGGAGACGTTTGTAATAAACACACCAGGCTGGTAGGACTGTAACGGGAACACGCCCATCGAGTTGTGCAGTTGGTGGTTGTAGCTCGGAGCATCGAGCAGAAGTTTCCCTGCCATCAGCTGTCAGCCGCTTCTCAGACCAAATCGTGAGACCAGACGTTGGAGAACCACTGGCCTGAGCAGGTGAGAATGAACACAGCGGGCTCAGAGGGCGGGATGATCTGACGAGAGCAGAAAACTGCACCGGAGGACAGAGCCAGTGAAGGTTTTAGGCAGAGTAAGGTCAGATCATTGGAAAATCTTTACGTTTGATAGAGGTCGTCATTGGAGGTTCTTAAGCAGAACGTTAGCATGTTAGACATCATCTGGGAAGCTCAGGGGAACAGTGGGTGGCAGGATGGGTGGGTGGGTGGGTGGGACACGGAGACAGGAAAGGAGGTATCGCGTGGGTAGATACAGCCTCGCCTCGGTGGAGACTGTCCGACGATGGGAGAGCAGCACCGCCCCGTCTAGGTTGCAGGCAGCTCGGCAAGACAGAATTCCCCGCGACTGCCCTGGGAGTTTCCAGCTCCCTAAGAGGGGCACTGACATGGCCGCTCTGCACCTGAGAAGGGGTGCGCGGTGGGTCAGGTCTGACTTTCGGGCGCTCGGCAAAGGGAACGCGGAGACCCGCGGGACGTGGACGGAAAGCCTCCCTCTGCGGTCCCCTGCTGCCCTCTGCTGCCCCCTACTGGACCGTTGCCCCGGCCGGAGCCGCTCCGCCTGGCGTCTGTGCGCGAGTCCCGAAGCTCACCCGCCCGGAAAACAAACAGAAGGAAACAGCAAAGGAGGTCGAGGTGAAATGCAAAGAGAAGTGAAGCCAAACCAAAATGGATACAAACTTAGAAATATTGTCCTACCTTTTTATTTTGAAAATTTCTAACCTATAGAAAAATACAATGAACAACCATTCTCTTTTACGTAGGTTCACCAATTATTAACATTTCCTCTGTGTGTGTGTGCGTCTGTGCGCGCGCGCGCGCGTACCTTTTCTTTCCATCTCCTTGGCTCCATGCCCTGGAGCGGGGCTGCGGGGTGCACGGGAGCCCGGCCCGGGACCCTCCGGCGCTGCGCCGCCCGCGCCCCCGCCCGCAGCGCGCTGGAGGGGCTCTTCTTTCTCCAGGCCCCCGCCAGCGCTTCCTGTTCCTGGATGTACTGATGGCAGCCATTCCGACAGGTGTGCGGTGGTCTCTCGTTGGGGTTTTCATTTGTATTTTTCTAATGATTAGGGATGTTGAGCATCTTTGCATGTGTCGGTTGGCCATCTGTGTATCTTCTTTATAAAATGCCTAGTCAAGTCTTCTGCCCATTTTTTAATAGACTTGTTTGGGGTTTGTTTGTTTTGAGGGTTTCTTATACATTTTGGATATTAACCTCTTATTCGTTATGTCTTCTCCCATTTGGTTGTGTTTTTATTTTGTTCATGGGTGTTGATGGAGACTTTTTTTTCTCCTGTGCAGGAGGTTTTTAGTTTCATGTAGTCTCGTTTTATTTTTTCTTGCATTGCCCTGTCCTGAGGAGACATATCCCAAAAGGCATTGCTAAGGCCAATATCAAAGGTCTATCCCCGCCACCAAATTGGACAATCTAGAGGAAATGGGTACATTCCTAGAAACATACAGTCTTCCCAGACTGAATCAGGATGAATAAGAAAACCTGAATAGACCAATTACAACTAATGAAATTGAAGCTTGGATGGCTTCACAGGTGAATTTTACCAAACATTTGAAGAACTAACACCTATGCTTCTCTAACTATTTAATAAAATTCAAGAGCAGGGAAAGCTCCCAAGTTCGTTTTATGAGGCAAGCATTACCCTAGTTCCAAAACCAGAGGAGGACACTTCACAGAAAGAAAAGTATAGGCCAATGTCCCTGATGAACACAGACGGTAAAGTCCTCAATGAAACATTAGCAAACCAAACCTAGCAATACAGTAAAAAGATCATACACAGTCCTGGCTGGTGGGGCTCAGTGGATTAAGCATCAGCCTGCAAACCAAGAGGTCGCCGGTTCGATTCCCAGTCAGGGCACAGGCCTGGGTTGCAGGCCAGGTCCCCAGTGGGGGGCATTCAAGAGGCAACCCCACATTCATGGTTGTCTCTCTTTCTCCCTCCCTTCCCCTCTCTCTAAAAGTAAATTAATAAAACCTTTAAAAAAATTGAAAAGATCATACACCATGATCAAGTG